AAATAGGATACTCCGATTTAAAAAATTTACCTCGTTCTACAAAAAGACATTTTAAATCTAAGGAGCATATATTTTCGTCTTGTGAATTAAAATTGTTTAGCAAACAAAATATAGAAACAGCTTTAGATACAGCTCAAAAAGCAGGCCATAATTTCTTTTAATAATCAGGCTAGGGAAAATCGGTCGAATTTAAAGAGATTTATCGATATTACGATTTATTTGGGTTCCCCAGAGTTAGCTTTTCGCGGACACGATGAAACCGAAGATTCGATTAATCGCTGCAATTACAAGGAACTATTAATGTTATGGGGCAAATATGATTCACAATTTGGCACTTTTTTAAACAGTAGAGTTTTTTCGGGCATCTCAAAAACCATCTAAAATGAGCTTATAGACAGTGTGGCATATATTATTAAGGTAAATATAAACAAGGAGATTGAAAGTGTTTCTTTTTTTGCATAGGAAATTGATGAACCTACCGATATTACCTGTACATCACAACTTTCAATCGTTTTTAGGTACGTCAAAGATAAGCATAATTAAGTACTTGTGCTCATAAAATATTTGTAGCAATTTTTAACAAAACTTATATTAGAAGAGAAAGTATTATTATTTATTGACTGAGAAGAGTTCATTTATATTAAATAACTCAAAGACAACCCTTTTTCCTTGTTTTCGTTTTTGTTAATGGTCAGTTTTATACGTATAACTTTCGAAAATATACAATTTTTGTTTGCAATTTGCAAATATTACGTATTTTGCTTTAAATAGGTGCGGTACCCCAAAAAATTTTCGCGCCTCCGGCGGGCTTTTCTGTGTGATAGTCTTTATGACTTTAGCCTCCCCTGTTATCCAATGCACGAGCCGTCACTGCTTCCATGTGTGTCGTCGTTAAGTTCGGGTTGAACTGCGTCTGGAGTTTTGTGTTCGACTCCGAATTGATGTGACTTGACGCCGGGGCCTCAATCTGGCTACTTCCCAGGTCTCTTCAAGAGATCTCTCTCAGGTCTCAATCTGCCTACTCCTTCGATTAAACTGAGGTATCGAAGGGTGTTCGCTGGTATTTATATCGGCGGGTGCCGATATAAATACCAGGTAGTAGGAAGTCTCTGCCACTCTGACCGTCATATAACGTTTGTTGTAAAATACACAACACTGTACTGTAGCATAAAAAGCAATATCATCGGTATCTAACTGAATTTTGGAAAATCTTCGAGTACAAATGAAATCAATATTACTGGAGTTTTTTTCTCAACACCAAATCGTTATTTTTAACACCTCAACACGTGTTTCGATCACCAAGTGATCATCTTCAAAGAGGAAGATTAAACTGGTTTAATCTTCACTTGGTGATCGAAACACGTGTCGAGGTGTTAAAAATAACGATTTGGTGTTGGGAAAAAATTCCAGTAATATTCATTACTACACCAAAGGTTCCAAACAGTGCATCATAAGTAAATGAAATCAAGTAAGACAAATTTGTCAACGAGTCTACAGACATTTTTGTATTCGAACAGAATTTTACTTCTTTCTCAACTTTTTTCAGCCAAGTCAATTTTTCACACTAATTGCCATTCTTATCCATTTTTGACAGACAGGGGCGCACTTAAATTTTTTCGGGGTGACTTCGTAGAAAATTAAGTTGAGAAATCCAAGACGTTGTTTTACCTCTGGGTTTTTTGTATGTGATTCATTGATTGATAGCGTTAATTAGCAACATGATACTTATATACTCCATCTGCCAGAAACGCATAGAAGTGTCAAACATTTTTCTGAATCCTTTTTCTTCGTCCTAAAAAATTCAGTTAATTTAATTTTCTTTCTTCTCTATGTTGTGAATTTTGCAAACTTGGCAATGTTGATTTTTTGTCACAACACTAGTTCTTTGTGAATCCATTAAGCACTTAATGAAGGAACGAGATATATTCACTCGCGCTTACCAAATGTTACAGCCATCCCAGCATAAATAAATTGGAATCCAACAAGAAGAAGCTTAGTGGCATATGGTATTTAATATTACTCAATATAAGGTGAATGGCCTCCTGCTAACTACCTTAATGTTGAGTGTCGAACAGTGTTGGCATATAACCGGATTTTTCCGTAATCTTTATTTGAATTCAGTAGCTTCAGTATGACAAATAATCGTCTCTTGAGGGAAACGTATACGTATACGTATACGTATACGAGGCAGAATGTAAACCAAAGAAAAATGCTATACGAGGTGTCTTTTTAAAAACTTTTCACGTTTATTATCTTCCTCCCATGAAAAGATATGTAAATTCGAAGGATGTATCAATTAGGGTTTGCTGGCCAAACTTCGATGCTTTCGCTTGTCGGATCATTTCTGTGTATAGCTCTTCAGCTTTCTGAAGCCAATATATCTTGGCACAATCTTATCGCTCAAGTTGCAAAGGCTGCTTCTCAAAAGCTTGGAACACTGTTCCGAACCAGAAAACTGTACACATCTCAGCAACTTTTGATGCTTTATAAAGCTCAGATCAGACCTTCTTTTGAGTCGGATATACGTCTACATCACGACGTATATCATATGCGATATCTCTTTGAAGTCTATGAATAAAGTAAGTCTAGTCACCGAACATTCGTCGCATGGCTGAATGCTGCGGTTGCACATTCCCTTCGTTTTCATATGCCTCGTTCGCATTCAGATGTATACGCGCCTTTATATCTTCAACGATAGTTAGTCGTTGCTGAGCCTTCGAATAACATTCTAAGGGGTCCAGTCTACCTGTCTATCACTTTGGATAACTGACGAACCCAAATGGGATTAAAACGAATGTTACACATCGAGAATGCGGCTAGATGGCGATTATCTAAACTGGTGGATAGGTAGATGTGTTTCCTTAGTATGGCCTACTGAATCACCTGATAGGACACCCTTACATTTTTTACGAAGATTCATGTAATCTTAAATATATGTTACACAGCCGCAGTCCATTCCCGAATTCCCGAAACTCCAAAATTATCCCCGGAAAACATTCGACAGTGTATGAAATGAATTTGTAAACAAACTTCATTATTGCCAGGAATCAGATTAATTTGAACATTTCTTGGGATAAACTGGGGTGAGCTTTGTTTGTTAGTTTGCGGATTATTGCAACGAATATAAAACATCTAATTATTCAGGAACGGCTTAGTATATTTCCAAAAATAAAACATTGTTGGATAGAAAATTGAAAGAAGTGTTGAACTAGATATCACATCACAAGACTCCCCTTTCCATTGAAAAAGAGTTGATAGTTGAAAGCATCTTCTTAGCAACGAGTGATGTCATACTATTACTTTTCTTGTTGAGAAATAGTGAAAAATTAATCAATATTTTTTTTGTTAACTTTGTTCGTCCTTATCCAATTCAAAAGAAGGGAAACTTTTTACTTCCGCCCTATGTAAGAAATTATTTTATGCAATTATTTTATTCGTCTTCTTTCGATTGTTGGTGAACAAGGAAATATTTTTACACTAAAAGGTCCAGCTGAAGAGTCTTAGCCAAAAGAAAATCCAGTCAAGATGTAAGAGTCTGTGAAAGAAAGGCCCAAGCTAATCAGTGAGGAAAAGTACCAAGCATTGTGAGGTGTTGCGCCTTTTTTCATTATGAAACCAGTTTCCTTTGTTTGGAAAAACGTTAATTTTGCACAAAGATTGTTTGGACTATTTGCCTATATTTTACTAAAAAGTATTCGGCAACTCCCTATATAAGAGACAGGATAAGTCGGTTGCATAATGCTTTAAAACAGAATAGAAATCTCTAACTCATACAATGTTCATACACCAAATTGCGTAATTTTCTACTACTCACTTCAAGATGGCGCTGCCGAATCGATATATTTAAAATCTTAGAAACACCGTACAATAATATGCAAACCTGAATAATTTTAGTAATTATACACTGATTTAGGGAAAAAAAGTGATTTTTGGCTTTTGTGAAAGAAATGGAAAGATTGAAATTAAAAAAATATTGAGAATTCTGAGAAAATACGTACTCAAGTCCATTTCAATTTTTTTAATTAAAAATCTATCGAGGAAAATAGTTATTTTATATAGACTTCTTTATTTCCTTTGTATGTTAAAGGAGAATAGGTGCTATTTCTAAATACTTTCTTCTGATTTGAGTCTTTTTCAGATTCAAAATATATGCATGAAATAGGTATAAATAAAATGGTAAATGGCTACTTCCTTAGAGAAATGAACAAAAAAGTAATTTCTTTTAAAAACTACTAGAAAAACCCTCTAAAGAAGTACCGTATCCCATTTTTCATTTTCTAGAAACGTTATTTCTGAAAAAAATCGTGATTTTAAAGGTATTACGAGATTTCGGAATATCGCACTATAATGAGTTCCCGAATTTCTCATATTTCTGGTCTGATTCTTTAGGAAAATTTGTTAGTTTGGCGAAAAAACATGAGGTAAATTTCATGACGATCAAAACGAGGTATCTTCATCTAACAAAATATAATTCATCCTGGTTTTGATACAGTTTATTAGTTTCCAAAATATTCCAATTTGTATCGATGAAAGGTTTATGATTTTTCAATAAGCTAAATGAGTAATTTTGAGGAAATTGAAAACTGTGTGTTATTTGAACATTTTTTCGTTTCTCATAATGGAATTTCTATAAATCACTGAAGTTAGCTGTATAAAGTTGAATGCTTTTTGTATTTATTATTTTCACTTTACCCATATCTTCAGCTGATTGTCTACAACATATTCTTCATCATTTTCTAACATAATTACATTGTTCGATGAACACGAATTCTTGAAAATAAAAAAAATCTATATTTTTTTTTTATAAAATTTGAACTTTGCTTGTTAAAAAACAAATTTCGGCTTACAAATTCTGAGAGAACAAAATGAACTGCATGCTCTCATCCAATCATCTCATCATTTTCCATATTTACTCTGAAAATGCATATTTACAAATCTTGCACAATATGTGCAACTTGTGAAATATTATATTCAACGCGTTCTAAGCATGCGCTTACGAACTTTTGGATATCCCGGCGGATTAGGGGGTTACCGCCTATAAAATTCAAAAACGCCCCGTAAGAAGTTAGTTTTTAAATCATTTTCAAGGAAAACAGTTCACCTACAAGCTCCAAAGGTAAGACATTTTTTTATATTTTATTATCAAGTTTTTTACGAATGTATATTATACCAACAAAAGTAATGAGTTGAAAGAAAAATGTCGTACAATTTCATCAATCAAATATTTGTCTACAGTATGAAAACAGTTGTTTAAAAGGACTAGAGCTGGTGCTTTACTTCTTCATTTTTAACTGTTCATCATCCTGCAGTTTTTTGTTGTTTCTAAAGTTATTGTAATGTTTGCAAGGGGGTTAGAGACTGCCATTGAAATTTTATTTGAAATTGATGACTCCCTTCAAATTTTGTAGATATAATGATGTAAAAAAACATGCTGTCCATCAACCGGAAAGGGCATTTTTGTAATACAAAAAGATATGTTATTTCAAATTGTGCAACAATATCCATCAAAGATCAAACCTGTATGTTATTTATTCACTATGTATTATTTATTTCATTATGAAAAAAAAACTGATGAACAAATGCTGTCTTTTAAAACATCCAACGTCCAGCTTTAAATATTTTGTTAACGAAACTGGATATCTAGTTCGAACCTCTAGACAGCACATCACTTTAATATTTAATAACAAAAATCTGTAGGGAATCAGACGAAAAGTCTGTTTCAATAAATCTATTTTGAAGGATGAGGTAGATATGCTAGGTACACAATAACTTGTTTCCATGATTCTGCTCTTAGATATTAGTCTTTGAACTCTTTGTGTTCTCCTTCTCTTGTATTAAAAGTTCATTCCGAAACTTTAAAGCACTCAACGCTAAATCATTTTATTATATTTTTGATTTCCTTTTCAATTTTATATGGCACATAGAAAATAATGGTAACAGTTCAGCAGCTCCATGCAAAATCACAGTATACATAAAAGGAGTAGATACTGTGTTTTAGAGTATGATGTATCTCCGGAACCAATGAAAGATGAATAGACAGACTGGCTCTGCAGATGCCTCCAAACATTGGTATATAAATGTGCACATAACTGGTTTTTCATGTCAGTAACTGTGTTTTTTGGCATGGAGAAGCCAAGTTATCCATACAACTCTTTATTGACAAGTAACCAACAATGACAGTTCATAATCTTGAGTCGAAACTTGTGCGAGCTAAGCATTAACGAGGTCTAGCTCTTTGAACTGCGATCACTAGCACGGAATACTGGGTATTCATAACCTCTCCATTGAAGAACAACTTCTTTCGAAGACTTAGAATTTGGAAAGTATTTTGGGCATTCCCGAAAGAAAATTTTGTAATGCTATGTCGAATTGTGAAACAATACCTACTGACGATGAAATTGTAGATATAATTTTGGTCCTATTACTTATTTCATTATAAGAAAAAAATATTTTGGTAAATTATCGCCGCCTTTAAAAATATTCTGTTTTCATCTTTACTATTTTGTCAACTGGCAAAAAAAGATAAGATATGTATTTTACCATTAGAGAACACCTCATTGAAATATTTAATAACAAAAAACTACAGGGATTCACGTTGTAAAGTGAAATTTGATGAAGGATGAGATAGAAATACCATATAATTACCAATTGGATTACAATTGTCTTCCTAGATATGTCTTAGAAGTTTTCATGGAATTGCTGAAAAATGAAAAATTTCGTGCGAATAAATTCAAAGTTCATTATAATTTTTTAATGAAAACAAACTTCAACAGGATTCCGACAATGTCACGGCCAAAATTCAGTTTCAAAAGGAACTCATCACCCACATATTTTTGGAGATTTTTTTTTATTTTCTTGGCTGTTAGAAAAGCAATGCTGATTAGTAGTTAGAACAATTGAGTGTTGATAGTCACCAGATGATTCTAGAATACATAAGGAATGTATCAAGAATACTTTTCATCCTTAACGGAATTTCAACATTGTGCAATATTACTAACTGCAAATTCATGTTACATTTTAGACAATTCCGGCTTTATCTTAAATAACATTTTTTTCATATCTTTTTCAGGACCCCGCCACAATGCAAGTTTTTGTGAAAACCCTTTCGGGTAAAACCATTACTCTTGAAGTTGAATCCACAGATAAAATAGAAACATGTAAAGCTCAAATAGAGGAGAGGGAGTATATTTTACGAGGCCAGCAGGAGCTGATATTTGCTGGCAAACAACTTGAAGATGGACGCAGGTTATCAGATTATAATATTCGGAAGGAGTCAACTCTACACCTTGTTTTACCATTAAGAGGAGGAGGAATGCCAGGAATTATAGAACCTACCCTGAGAAAGTTAGCTGAGAAATATAACTGTGAAAAATTAATCTGTCGCAAGTGTTATGCTAGGTTGCACCCAAAAGCAACGAATTGCAGAAAGAAAAAGTGTGGCCACAGTAATGACTTACGACCCAAAAAAGAGCTCAAGGATTTCAAAGGAAAATGCTGATTGTAATAAATATTCGTTCGCAGTATGCAGATCTATTTATATATATTGAAAGTTTATATTTCGTAAAATTGTAAATATTTTTTACTTATTGAAATTTAGATTAGAAAAAATTAAATCAATCAGTAATTGTACCCAATTTTTCTCAATAAAATGTAAATAGAAATTGCCATAATCAAACATGCTCAAAGGTGGAACTTCAATCTATATTCTTCCACCTCCAAGGGCAAAATTGAAAACTATACATACCACCAATTTGAGAAAAAATGTTTCGAATATATTTCTTTACCGGAAATAAATGTTTCAAAGACAAACATTTTTTAAGGGAAAAGTAACAGAAATATTAAAAAACATGAATACAAAAAATATCTATTACTACAATGATACTGTCCATAGTGTCATGTGTCATGTCATGTCTTGTCTTTAGAGATGTTTTCTGGCGTTTATAGCATTCAAGCATGTTATTCAAAAACGATTCGTAGTGACGTCAGATGTCAAAATAAATAAAGACAAACATTTCAATTTTCTCTAATCTCATTTAGAATCGGATTTATGCAAGTAATAATTTCCCAGCTTTATTTTGTACAATCTTACAATGTATTTGATAAAATTTTTTCAGCATTTTATAAACTATAACGATCAAAATAAAGCAGAAACTGACATAATATAACTTCAAATTCCGTTTCAAAACCACTTCACGCTAGTTTTGTGTAGTTTGTAAACGAACTAGGTCGGAAGAGCGATCTTATGAATGAACTATACGAACTAGTTCGCAGACCCGTCACTCCTTAGTTCGTCAGTTCGACGGCACTGAGGCAAGAAATCGAGAGTATCGAGAGAAATCCATGTTTTATTTTTTTTATTTAATGTTTCTTATTTCTTAACACAACGCATATGACGTTACTGTTAAAATAAAACCAAGACTGTAATGTTTTTTTATGAGGAAATGTCTGAATTTATTTTTAAGTGGGTAAGAACATACCAGTTTTTCTGTGTCATCATTAGCAGATAGATAAATACAAATTAATGTGTACTAGATAGGTACTAATTCCAAAGATTAAAAAATGATTATTTACAAACAGGTATTGTCGTTTATTTTTACCTAAATAAATTGTTGATCAACGCAAGGGAATAAGCCAACAAGTAGGTTTTTCGCGACTTGAAGTAGTGAACTAACGAACTGAAAGATCGAACTAGTTCGTTTAAGAGCTGCGAACTAAAATGAACGCTCCCGCTTGTGAACTATAATGCGCAAGACTAGTTTTGAATCATGAATACGTTTCAAATCATAGTTGATGTGACGTCATTATGACAACGCCCGAACGAATGTATTTGAATTACAGACGAATATGTTTTAAATACATGAGCGCCAGAAAACGCATTATTTTGCCGTGGTTTTGCCGTGGTCTCCTTTATTTATGATCATAAAACGTATCAACTGCAACTGCGGCAGTCATCTTCAATGGCGTTGTCGAAGTACTCTTCTTGACGAGTCAACTGAAACAGTTGATCAAAGAAGACCACGGTAAAACCCGGAAACCAATCAAAACAATAACGTCAGCCGTGAAAGCCTACATTCCTTTATGATAGGTTTGTTCTTGTTCAGAATTTGGTACAACTATGTCTTGCGCAAATACTAAAATTTTATTTTGGTTCATTTCTATTTCTCTTCCTAGATTATTTTGTTTCCAATTCGGAACTATTGCAGAATGGTAATCAATAGTTCTGACATTGGGGTTGATGAAATTTTTTATTTGATTTGTGTATAAATGTGCAATGTCTTTTGTTTACATAATCTCATTCATATTTCTTACTCCATCTTCAATTTCAATATTTTTTGTTACAGTTTTTTTTGGTACAACTAAGAGAAAATAGATAACGCCCCAACTAAGTTATCATGAATTTTTCTATATTGATTTTTCATTTGTGAGAACTGTTACAGAACTATCCAAGATAATAATGACATATTTTCAAAAGCAAACATTTTTGAGATTCCATGTTTAATGACGTTGATACAAAAGTATAATTGAGATAATATCAAAATTATCGTAACGAGAAAATATGGCTCATAGTCGATCCCAGCTGTCACCTATTGTCATGTCAAATTGTGACATTTATCTAATAAATAAACAATGTAAAACGTAAACATTGATTTTACAACTGAAAACCATAGATTTGATAAAAACATTTCTAATTGCTTCAAGAGTTTCAGTCCCAAAATTGTGAATTTTCATTTTGTTATTTGAATCAATGTCGTTTAAATAATAACTTTATTTAATTTGAGAGATGGATAATAGTAAGAAAGGAGTGATTTTTCACCCCATTATAAGTTCCATTCAGAAAATGGCTTTATATGAGACCAAATCTGTAAGTATATCAGTTTGTAGTTTCATTATATTATTGGTATAGTTCCTTCCTTCCTTCAGAAATATTATTTAGTTGGCTCAAACAATACTCAGACACGGTTTCGTGTTTTAAAAATTGACCGAATGGAAGCCAAAGAACTGGAAATTTATGATGACAAAGTCGAATATACAGCAGAAGAAATACATAATCTCATTAATATGATAGACTCAGGAAACAGAAGAGCAGGAGGTGGGGCTGGAGGGTTCTCAAAAGTTATATCTGCTTTTGGAATAGTAGGTTTGTATAAATTTATGAACAGATCTTTAGTTTGAATTCTAATTTGAGCAGATATTCCTCTTGAAATAATTCAACTTGTCGAAGGTGAATTGATTTTACTAGGTAGCAAGACTAACTGGACTACGATTAGTCATGATGCTTCCTAGGTAGTCTGTAAAGTTACTATATCCTACCAAAAACATGAGGTTACTGATATTTGTTTTTGAGACTTTTTAGTGCAATAAACTTGCTTTTCTGAAATTTGTTCATTTCAACTCAACAGGTTAATTGATTTATATTATATAAAACTGACTAACCTGTTGAAATATATACACTATTTTCAAATTGGCGTGAAGTTATCCACAGATTTCTGGCCACACATGCCGACGTAGAGGAAAATAAAAATCTGTGGTTGGGATACAAAATTATTAGCACCCGTACTAATATCTGTGGCTGGAAATACCTATTCACTATAGGTTGAACGTGAAATTATTGAGACTATTTGGTGTTTAACATTTTTATAGAGTCTTGAGTAGATTGAAGCATTAATAATAAATAATTTCACGTTCAACCTATAGTGAATAGGTATTTCCAGCCACAGATATCAGTACGGGTGCTAATAATTCCGTATCCCAACCACAGATTTTTATTTTCCTCTACGTCGGCATGTGTGGCCAGAAATCTGTGGATAACTTCACGCCAATTATTTTCAATATCTTCCACCCTGTGAAGAATTCCAGTTTATAATCAGTAGGCACATTTCGGTAACAGATCTGGTGAAACTGCTGTTTTTCCTTTGGATTCAAACGACATGACTATACCATGACAACCAGTCATTTCTACAGAACAAAAAGAATAATCTTCACAGTTTCTATCTTGAAGTGACAAGCTTCAATATGTATTCATGATTCAATAATTCGGTGAATTTAGTCTTATGGTTTCTGAATTACAAGTGCTGGATTTCATATTCAGAATATCATATTCCGAAATTTTTCCATTTACAGTTGAATTTTGATGTATTGATGTTTTTTCGTCAGAAATACAAAAAAATATAGTGAATCGTAAATGAAAAATTGGTGAAAAAAACTCATTTCATTTTCACTCTAGGTTTCATAAAGTTTTTAGAGGGTTATTACATTAATCTCATTACCAAGCGTCGAAAAGTAGGTGTTATCGGACATCATACAATCTATAAAATAGAAGATACCACTATGGTGTACATTCCACATGAAAGTGTCAGACTGCTACATCCAGATGAACCTCGTTATGTGAAAATGTTCCAAAACATTGATTTGGCAAGTAATTTTTACTACAGGTAAGAAGTAATACTTTCAACTGGATTTGATTCTCCCAATAAAATTTCGGTTGTATTTTGTAGCTACAGCTATGATCTTACTCATACCCTCCAACACAACTTGACACATCCGAAAAGATTTGCTCCCAATAATGATCCTGAAGAAGTTGATTGTCATATCAAAGTTGACAATACTGATAGCCTTTCTTCATCTGTTGTTTCCCAATATTCGAATTCTGAAACAAGCGAGCCCCAGCATTTCGGTATACGTACTCAACCTCATAGAAAATTTGTGTGGAATACTCATTTAATAAGGTAGGATATTAGTATTCCTTGAAACATTCATTTTTCCAAATTCCCATTTGACTTTTGTATTTCTGGATAGATTTTGTTAAAAATCCTAATTTTTTTTATTGATATCATGAAAATTATCTTTGCAAACTTAATATCTACGTTTGTTATTTGAGAAAATCTTGGGGAGTTGACAGCTATGCATAATAGCTTCGTCATGTAAATTTTTGTCTCCGGTTGAAGCAGGAAAATGACCTCAAATATTGAGTATTTGAGAGAGGAACCGCTTGTCGGAACACAGTTCATACTGTTTTGTTCTTTATGTTGTACATCTTATGTAATTCTCTCAAAGTTACCCGTTTTCTTCACAATTCACATCTTTGTCTTTATTATATGATAATCTCTATCTGTCTACAGTGATTCTGTTAGAGCGGAACTTCATCCAGACTGGATCATCTACATAACACATGGTTTTGTGGGCCAAACAAACATAAATGTTTTTGGAAGATCCATCTATGTTACTTTAATTGCGAGGAGATCTAGCAGGTAAAATTATGTGTATCATACTTGGTTACATTTAATATAAAATTATAGAAGATACAAAACTCTGAAAGGGAAATCGTCACACATCATCTCTTAATCATTATTATTTGATGACCAGGTATGCTGGTACAAGATTCCTAAAGCGTGGGGCTAATTTCCAAGGGGATGTTGCAAATGAAGTGGAAACCGAACAACTGGTTCATGATTCGGGAGTATCTTCATTCACTCAAAGCCACGTTACTTCATTTGTTCAAATGAGAGGATCTATACCTGGTAAGAAAAATGTCAATCGCATTGTTTTGTAATTTTTGTTACTTCGTCAGACGCTTCAGGACGGGGTTTACTTGGGCGCCTGCTATGTTGGTTTTATGAGGCACTACTTTTGCTCCGGACAGCTAACAGTGAAAACACGGAATGGAAGGGTTAATGTGGCACTTTCGGATTTACCCTACTTACTGGCTAGTGAAATAAAAGACGGTCTTCTAACTAATAATCACTTTATTTCTCGACTAACTTTCCTATAGGAGTTCCAGCCACCACATCACGGTATATTAACAACGGAAGTTCAAAATTGTTCTATAAGAAAATCACTTGGGTAATGCATGCAGGATTGTTGAAAGACTCGGTACTTACAGTACTTTCATTGGGCGCTCACGGAGTGATGAGAAGGGGGTAAAAGGGGGTGTGATCAAATTTGAGGGTAGGGGCACTAAGTGACCAGGACAGGGTCAAGAGGTATGTGATCAACGACAGGAATAAGCTTCACTCAATTCGTAGTGATAGACGGGGAAAAAGAGGCAGAACTATACAAAATATGGCTGGAATGCTCGAAGTTTCACTTGATACGTATAATTGGAGGTTGATAATTATATGACATGGCTGAATTGCTCTAGGTTTCATTTAATCCGTTTGCAGAGAGGGCAAAATAGAGAGACACAAAAACAGGGTAGAGAAATATCCGAGACACACCGGCCCTCCGGCCGGTACCGCCGCAACCGCTGTGTCCATGCATTTTAAATCTGTAATATCTTCGAAAATATTCTTTTAAATCACATGCTGCAAAGGGCGATATTGATCTATATCAAATACAAAATATATTCAAGGTCTTAATTGGATGATGATTGATGCTGTATTGCTTAAAATCGCTTTATAAATAAATCATTATTTCTTGAGGATAAAAAATGGATATTGTGGGTTATCCCTAAGAGATATACATATATCACCATGTACTTTTTTGTAGACTTTTTAGAGGTGTATAGTAGTACATTTTTTTATCTATCTTCTAAGGTTCAGCCAGCATTTACAATGTAAGCTCAAAAAATGTGTCTATTAACGACATCACATTAGAAACCTCTAGAATTATCAGAGTTTCTCTATTATTTTAAGCATGTTATATACATATAAACCTTCCTATTGAATCACTCCATCTAATAAAAAAACCCTCATTAAAATCCGTTGTATACTTTTGAAGATCTAAGCATACATAGGGACAGACAGTGGGAAGCAACTTTGTTTTGTACTATGTAGTGAAATCATAATCTAAGTGTGATGTCATCAGTCCTTACATATATTGAATGTTGATATTTTTCAACAGGCCCTTGAGGTAGCATAGAGAAAGATAAAAGGGTTGTTAATGATATCTGTTTAAAAATCTGTTTAAAATCTGTTTTACCGTTAACCAGCTGTCGAACCCTTACGAACGACAACCCTCAGAAGTCGAAACTTGTGCGAGCTAAGGATTAACGAGGTCTTACCTTTTACCGTGTGATTCCTAACACGGGTCCCAGAAGAGCACCAGCATTGATTATGTAGGTATTGCAGACATAGCCATTGACAACTCTCTCTGGTGGAAAATTCTGAAAAAAAAAAAATGTCGAGCAATAAGTCATAATCTTCAAAATTTATTTTAATTTTTTGCTTACATATTATCCCAGGTTATTGAAGCGATTTTTCCAATAAGAAATTTTTTCACGTCTAATTGATGGCTCTCTCCTTTACTCTCAGGACACTGGAAACAAGAAATGGGTAAGATGGTGGCAAAACCGGCTATTACTATTGACTTCTACGATCCATTTGCGGAGACTGCAGGGGCGCACTTCAATGAACTTCTCAAACGATATGGTGCCCCCATCATAATCTTGAACCTAGTGAAACAGCGTGAGAGGAAGAAACAAGAGCGGCTGCTGAGTGACGAGCTCAGTTCGGCCGTCAAGTATTTGAATCAGTTTTTACCCGTAGAGCATCAGGTAGGTATAGTCTGTACGAAGTCAATCCGAACAGCTAAATGAAAGACTGATGGCAATACTCTTCACTACTAATAAAAAAAATCCCTGTAGGTTTATGAAGAATAAAATTAATTTTGAAAAAAAAATTATATCACTCCGCCCATGCCAACAAAGAAACTGCCGAACGTTCGGTAACTATTTAGTTTTTATGCCATTCGAATTGACTTCGTATATACTATAACATATACAAGTAAGATTTGATTTACTTTCTAAACTGTCATTATTTATGGAAAGATTATCAATCAAGCAACTGAATGATTTGTTTTAACATTTATTGCCAATAAACCAGCAAGACACAAGTTTTCATTTTTCATTCAAGTCGGATAATACTATTTCATATACCTTAACTGAGTTTTTTACATTCTAATAGTTTGTAGTGAATACCAAATATATCAATCCCAATTAGATATTTGATAGATAGATAAACATTCATTCATCCCCGAGTTTAGAGTAGACTGAATGGATATGGTATTTTCACGTGAAATTTATGTCATGTACAACTCCTAGAAACTTCATACTCTCTTTGTTCTCTTTAGATTTGATTGTTAGATATAAATTGTTATCTGGGTCTACATTTTTCAGGAGAAATTCTATATGATTTGTCTTTGAAGTATTCAGTGAAAGACCATCACTGCAATAATTTACTAGTTCTTGTGATTAGTATTACAGTTCTTCACAAGTGATGCCCGTGAATTATTATAGACACTATAGTATATTTACAGCATAAACAGAACATTGAACCCTGTACCATCTCCAATGGCTCTTTCAAATCTGTTCTTTGTAGTACTTGAATATATCCTGAAGGGTTTGATACAAAACATATCAGCAGACTTTCTTAAGCAATATTTCATGGATAATGCAATGAGAGGTTTTGAGAAGAAATCAAAATATTTATATTTTACTTCATCACCATTCATATCTGAATAAATTTCATGAATAAGAGAAAATTGCATCTTTGGTATTTTTTCCATATCGGAAAGTGATTGGATTGTTACTCATGACATAAGGAAAAGTTTATAAATTCTTGACTCCTCCTTAAATTTCATTTACAAGCACAACTTGAAGTTCGGTAATGAACAATGAATGTTCAACAAACAATTCCTTGATACTAACAGTGGAAAAAGTGTCAGTCTGTATATGAAGTTGGTTCATTTCTCATTTTTCCCTTCCTCTTCAGATCATTTATAAAACATTTGATATGGCCAGGAAAAATAAAGGAAAAGCAAATGTCATGGGTCACTTGGCTGAAATTGCACGAAATGCTGTTATGAAAGTCGGAATATTTCACAACAAGCCACAGTATCAGTCTCAAAAATCTGGAACAGTAGTTGGTCAAAATAATAACACTTTGGGCAGCTTACAGACAGGAATAGTAAGGACGAACTGCGTGGATTGCTTAGACAGGACGAATACAGCCCAGTTTGCTATTGGAAAATGTGTTTTAGGTTAGTAGTTAGTTTTCCCAGATGTCCACCCTAAACATCCATAAATTCAAAAGTCATAATTTACTTATCGAATAACACAACAAGACCTAACATTCAATATACTACACAATACACATTTTTAAAAACAATGAAACTAGAGAAACTTCAACACAAGGATATTACCTGGTATAACGCAAATACAGGCAAATTTAACGAGATATCTGGATGATAGGAGAGGACAAATACCTGAACTGAGGCGTTCTAACCGTATAAAAGAATAAACAAGGAGATAAAATGTTTAATTTAAGTAGAGCCTTGAAGATGATAGCATAGTCTGCTATATTTTGTTCTTCTGTTTGGTATCTGCCACTCGTACCTATCAAACTGAAGGTCGCACGTGTAGGCCAAGAGTTTGGTATTTTCATCGGAACTTGGGCATATCTACGCTCCCACCTCGGAACATGTGTTTGCTGACTTGCTTCCAGACTTTGTTTGCCTGTAGTGCAGTGATATATACTACTGAATCAACTGCAGCCAGAGCTTATGACTAGTTGGAATTAATTTTGTTTATTCGGGATATTCAGACGGTTCACTCGCTTTAAAATGACCCTCCCGGCACTGAAGAGGAGCCGGTACTCCAAAACTGGTCTATCGGTGGTCATCCCGATAAAGTGAAATTAATTTCAGCTTTTCTTATACAGGAAGTTACTTGCGACAAATCTTTCAAACGGAAGATATTGCACAGGTGCGTGATGGTTTCACTTCAGCTTTATGCGCGACATTATCTGGGTTAGCTGTTGTTTTTCCTTCGGGTATCTGCCACACGTCTTCACTAACTGACACGCCCGAGGAAGCCATTGTATGGCGAAACACGTGCGTTTTTGTAAAACTGTCTAGTGAAAATCTCACAAAAAAGTGTAAATACACAATAAAGTGTAAAGCCTTTGACTGTGTAAATCATGGAATACTGCTAAAAAAGCTTCACCACTATGGGATAAGAGACAAGGGTTTGTCGTGGTTCCAGTCGTACCTAATCGATCGACAACAATAAGTGAAAACCAGCTCTGTTTCTAGTATACAGGGAGTGAAAACAGGAGTACCCCAAGGCTCAGTCTTGGGGCCATTACTATTCCTGATATACATAAATGACTTGACCAGCCTTAACATAGCTGGCTCTTTCACGCTTTTCGCAGATGACACCACAGTATTATGGCACAAACATAAAAATAAAAGTTCCTTCCAAAATGAAAAAAGTCACTGTACTAGACAAGCACATCATCTCAAGTTGCCCATTCCAACATCCACCCTAGTTAAAGATTCTATTGCGTTCACGGAAATAAAAATATATAATAAGCTGCCAGCTACCCTGACTAATAGTGTGAATCAAGCGAAATTCAGGAGGGACTTGAAGGTTATCCTAGCAAGGAAAGGGTATTACTCGCTTGAAGAGTTTTTTGAGGATCGTCTAGAGTTTTGAGGAGTGTGTTTTTTATTGCCTCATTCATCGTTTTTTTTATATTATTATATACATTCCCAACTAACTGCTATATTTTAACTTTTATTTATCATATGACAATTTCACAAAAAAACTGTTTTCAATTAACAATCTCACTCTATGTGAAGTTATTTTAGTTGTATAAATCTTAGATTTTAAGCCCTAATTTGTTTATCTACAAGATTGTTCAATCTTTCAGATAATAAATGTATATCTCTCTCTCAATACGTTAGTTATGGATTTTCATCGGCCGATTCCATCATACAAAATTGTAGATCTCACATGAGAAGCCGATAGTTTGGTAATGACAGTATAAGAGAAAAAATTTGTTAATAAAATTGACGTATCGGAATATACTTGTATGTTACAGGGTAGACGACTTTCATCATTTTAACTTAAATATAAGCAAAATTGTTATTTGATGGCAGAAGTGACTTGAAGTGACTGTCGACGTCTCATTAAAATGTTCAAAATGTATACTATCGTTTCTCCTTAAAATATATTGATCAGACCGAAGTTCTAAAACATCCATTTGCTGAGACATATTACGTATAAAAAACATAGAATTTCACGACAGAATTCTCGATTGAAGAGAACAAAATCCGTGCTAGTAGACCGTCGACGAATGGAACCTAAAATACTAAACTTTTCGTCTACTACAGAAATCATCAGTGGTATGGACGTTTACTTCGAGGACGAAGGGATATATCTCGAAATCTCAGTAACGTACACTAGACTAGCTACGTGCTCATTTATATTTATACTTTTAGATGACGGTAGGGGTGATGATGAGGAAATCAGAAGATATAACACTCTGAGTAAATCTAGTGAACCAAGAATGACATTTTGCATTCAACTGACCAATGCTCCCGTCATTTTATCTAACTCGGATATAATTTTGTGGTTCAAGGTTCTGATAAACTAGTCCCATGTCTATTTTCTATATCCAGAACTTCTGAAAGTTTGTGTTATTTATTCCAGCCCCATACAAGAACAAGAAATAAAAATTCCTGAGTGGCTTTTTCTTGCATACTTTCGAAGGGTTCCTACCAACCACCTCTTTTTTGATTGCTAGGTTCTTACCAAACAAATTGTACATATTCTAAATTTTCTCTACCACTTATCCAATGAGAGACCAGTTTTATGTTTCTCAGTTCATAAATGATTTCAACATTTCATTAAACTATCTTGACAGCAAAAACGTATGGTTTCTGTATTTATAATAATCATTTCAGGTTATCAGCTTTGTGCTTTGGGGATTTTAGACACACCTAATCTGGAATTTGACACAGACTGTGTTCGTATGCTCGAATCCCTGTATGAGGACCATGGAGACACACTTGCACTTCAGTATGGTGGCTCTCAGCTTGTTCATCGTATAAAAACCTATCGTAAAACGGCACCCTGGACTTCGCAGGGAAATGACATTATGCAAACTCTCAGTAGATATTATAGTAACACTTTTTCTGATGCTGAAAAACAAAACGCCATCAACTTATTTTTGGGACTTTTCAAACCTGAAGAGTACAAACCCCAGATCTGGGAGTATACAACCGACTATTATTTTCATCATAAACCCATTATTTCCAGTTTGAAGTCGTTGACACAGTGGTGGGATTCTGGAGTTGTGAAGAGCCTACCTTATGCTTTTAACGATTTGACCAAATCATGTACTGAACTGATTCAGGTATGCTTTTGTTATTTCTTAGTATTCCATCAGTGATACGTGATATTATTTGGAGTTCTTTCATGAAATTATCACGATTTTGCACATTGTTATCCATAATTATCTTTTATATGAGGAAGTTATTGGGAAGGGCTCAATACATGTGGTCATCAACCATTAATTTTTTTCAAAATGTTTCTAGTCATTCCAATCAATGAATTACAAATTCATTTAAAAATACGACTGTATGTCTAAAGAGTTCCCTAAAAACTTTTGGTGTCATATTTATTTATATCAAATTGTTTAGTAATATTATTACGTTTTTCCCCGTGGGTTGGTTAATAATTGACTACACTGAATAATCACTTCATTTCACGTTTCAACAAAACTTCAACTATTATTTGAATGTCTATCGCCTTACTGGATCACTTCGCGTACCGCACTGTAACCCCCACTTGACTGTGTCGATATGCTCGCGGCTGTCGTTTTTATATATCGTAATCGAATGCGCTAGAAAATTTCGTCGAAATTCCGTCGAAATAGGTAGCATTTATCTCGCTGTTTCTAGAGTGGCGGGGAATCATAGTACATTCGCCCCTCTTAGCGCGCGAAAACCATTGACCTATAGATATTCTACCAAGTTTTGCAAAATTATTTGAGCTAGCTATGTGTAATAACATTACAAATTTTCTATATAAATGTAATATAATTAGCAATAACCAATACGGATACTTACGAGAGAGATCAACAAACAGTGCAATATTTCAATTTACTCAAAATATAACAAACTTAATGGAAAGAAAATATTTAGTTAGCACTTGGTATGTTCTTAGATCTGTCAAAGGCATTTGACTGCTTGAATCATGAGATACTTATAAAAAAACTAGAACTATATGGTATAAGAGGAAACTCACTGAAATGGATTGAATCTTACCTAACAGATCGCCAACAAATAGTAACTATTAACAAACATGGTCGAACATACAATTCTGAGAATGCGGCAGTGAAAGTAGGAATACCCCAATGAAGCATTGCGGGTCCCTTGTTATTTATTATCTACATAAACGATTTATGTTATCATTCAAACACACATAATTCAATTACAGTCTTTGCTGATGACACTAATTTATTAATAGGCCGTGAAACATACCCTGAAGTAGTAAAACTGTTTTAATCTTCCTCTTTGAAGATGATCACTTGGTGATCGAAACACGTGTCGAAGTGTTGAAAATAACGATTTGGTGTTGGAAAAAAACTCCGGTAATATTCAGATATGGAAATGTTTAATGACACAAAAAAATGATTCACTAGGAAAAGGTTAATTTTGAATGAATCTAAAACTAATCTTATACTTTTTAGAGCTAATCAATCACAGATAGAACGACCTCAAAATTGGAATATTGAAAACATTACTATAAAATATTCAGAAAAAACAGATTGATTATACAGCTAACAAATTGAGCAACATTTCGTATGGACTAAGGGTTGTTCACAAATATCTCAATATCTGAAAATTTTATATTTTTCCAATTTTGAGTCTGTAGCTAGATATGGAATCATATTTTGGGGAAGCAATAGTAATATAAATAAAATATTTGTAATTCAGAAAAGAGCAATCAGAATGATGAGTAATTTGAAGTATCGTAAGTAATCAAGTGATGAAGTAAGTAAGTAATCAATCGTGTAGAAATGTCTTCAAGAATAACGGGATAATGACGATATATGCTCTTTATATTTATGAATTCTCAATGTTTGTTTTAAAAAATAGGCACCTGTTCTTCACCAATATTAATCAATATTCCTATGGAACAAGAAGAAATGATTTCGTGCTCCCTATTCATAGGTTAACCATAACAGAAAAAACTCCTCATTACATGTCAATGAAGCTGTACAATAAATTGCCTAATCGAATCGAATATTTGAGGAGCATAAAGAAATCTAAGAAAGAAATAAAAAAATATTAATAGATTTAGAACCATATAGTGTTAGTGACTATTTAGACCAAACCGAATTATAGAAATGTATATATTTATGAGTATATGTAGTCTTTTTCTTTTTTTTGTTGTTGACATTATTTCATTCGATGTTGTCTGTGTACAAGCTGTACACAGCTTTATTTTTGAAATAAAGATTATTATTACGTCACCATTGGTTTATATATAAATCATATATAAATCAGTTATATTTATTTTATACCAGAATCAAATTATATCAATATCTTCAGGTGATGTTTATCATTGGTATAATTTGATTCTGATATAGTCATTATGCGGTTGAGTTGTTTTAGGTAGGTTTTAAGTAGAGTTGAAACGCGTTAGACTTTTAACCTGGTAGATTTTCGGATTGGTTGGCAATAATGTTGGTAGAAATATAACTGATGTACTTGCAATTGATATAATTTTCTAGGGGTATATCTGGATATTGTAGATTTGTCAAAGAGGTAAATATATAAAAATCAGAGAACAGTTGGATCGAAAACCAGTTCCAACATCTAACATCAACGATGTTAAATGTTGGAAGCGGCAGATACGGGAAACGCCACTGTTGTGATGGAAACGGATCTCTACAAACAGAAGATCGAAGATGTTCTTCAGAAGAGCAATACCCGAAGATTGTACGGGACCCTACTGCATTAGTTGAAAGGAAGTCTTACCAGACACCAAGTATATATGGACTGTATGCACTACTCAGTCCTATCATTAGTTTCAGATATTCAGCTACTCTAAACTTGTCCTGATTTTTACCTCCAACTATACAACCACTACTAGGATAAACTTCAATTTTTGTGAAGAATTCAAGGCATTTTGTCGAATTACTAGTAGCGATGGAAGTCGCGGAGCAAGATCAATTAATCAGTTTCGACGTGGAAAGTCTCCTTTACACCAACATAAAGAGGAAGCTATCCGAAGACGAGGACATGGAAGATAAAACGGACTTATGGACTTACTGCTATTTCTAACTGAAAGACGGATTATTTAAGCAAGATGGGGGACTGCCAATGGGATCGCCACTTTCGCCAGTTTTAGCCAACATATATATGGAGTGGTTTGAAACTCTGGCCATTGAAGAAGCCCACAAGAAGCCTCAAGTCTGGTTGAGACACGTTGACGACACCTTTATAGTATGGAATCATGGGAATACAGAATTAGACTCTTCTCTGAAGCACATCAACAGCGTAAAACCTTCCATCCTCCACAACGGAGAAGGAAGTTCACAACAAAATGCCATTCTTAGACGTATTGGTGAAGAAGACTGACACTAAGTGGATCGTGCTTTTGGTCTCTGTAATACGAAGGAGGGTCTCGAGAAAGAACTAGACATCATCAAAAAATATCTTCAATGGAATAGCTACTCCAAAGTGATAGTGGAATAGATTTTGGCTAGAAGATAGCCAAACACCGTTTTCAATTGCATCTCAGTCTTAACGGATACCAATAGAAGGCGATGTTGAAGCTAAAATTACGAGCGGCGCCGGTCGTGAAATTTTTCTATGCGTTTCTTAAGCTGTAGATGGAGTGGCTATTTAATGGGACAATGACTTTAAATATTACGAGTCAGGCATAAACATCTGCAAACCACAGCCAAAAATCCCGGAAAATAGCCATCATACAATCTTCACATAGATGTAATATAATTTTCTAATAAGTTCATTTCCATTGTCGGGTTATTAAAAAATTCTAACAAGATTTTTCCAATACCTAGGTCCATTCCCGTGATGTAGAAATGATTGATTCCTACCTTGACTACTACAGACCTTACGAACTGAGTGTTTTGGGAGACGTTTTTGCTCTAAAAATATCTAATTCTATCAGGGATTTCATGCCGAATTTCACAACTAACTATAGTCCTTTTACACTTAGAGTCAGGCCAGTGAGGAGGCGTGAAGAAAATTCTAATAAAACCGGTACAAATGCAATGAAAAATCCTTCTGTTACTGGCCAGAGTTCCACTTGTTCAACTGCTTCCAGTACCAGGTAAGTTTTGTAGTTTATTCCATTGAAATAAGAATGGATACTGTAATGACTTAAATTGAACGTTTTCCGAACTTCACGCAAATGTTTTTCAATGACTATTTTTCTGAATCTCTCATTTAGTTACTGCTAGTGCTAGTTAGTGCTTCTGATACCCATACACGCGTCAGTGCACGCACCCACACGCACGCTCATATGCGCACACACTCGCGCATACATCCAAAAGAGCACACACGCGCGCACACACTAATGTGGTACAGATTTATAGCAAATGCGACTTATCAAAGTTGTTTGATACAGAGTGCATTTAATTCTCAACTGACAAATTGTACCATTAGGCTTTCCAGATATTAGATTGTTTCAAAAGTATTTTTCGCTTTTATGAGTCTACTTTTTACACTGTAATATCTGGGTAAATACTTATTCAATTGAATCGAAATAAGCGCCATTTCAATCAATGAACTTTTGCCAACGTAAGGCAAGTCGACTAATTCCGTCAGCATAAAATTTAGTGCTCGGGATCCGATGAAGTCGACAAAGGCCGTTTTTGCCTGGTCCTGATTGGCGAAGGTTCTACCGGTGAGAAAGTTATCAAAGTGCTTGAAAAGATGGTAGTCGGTTGGAGAATATTGTAGGTGAGGCAGCAGAACTTTGATGTTCAATTCATTTAATTTTCTGACGCTGTTGCCGTTGAGCAGAATCGGACGTCCTCACAATAGGATTCTGCTGTAATGGTTTGGCCCAGTTGCAGGAATAATGATAATAAATGCCTTTTATTAATGTTCAGTTATATTCATACATGTGAACTAGAAAGAGTAAGTGGGGGAGATTCAGTCCTCGTCCTGGATTACTGTAGGTCGACCACTTCTGGGCTCATCTTCGAAGCTGAAACCTCCTGAACGAAATTTTGCAAACCAATGTCGAACATAGGTTCTTTAACACTATCATTGCCAAATGCTTGGGTAATTTTTCGGGCTATCTCGGCAGCGCTTTGGTTCAGTTAGAATTCGTAGAGAAAAATTAGTCAAAAATTGCTAAACGACATTGTATAGTAATAAACTGTAACTGTAACCGCCGATTAAGTGAAACTAGCAAGAACCAATGAAATCTTCTGAAATAAATTCAAAATCCTGCTTTTAGAGAGAGGCTAATGCCGTCACAATGATTTCAAAAATGACTTTCTATCTATTACTGGTAACATCTGACCATATGTTTTAGCTAACTTTGTCACATATATATTATTTTATTAATTATTATTTTTTTATATCCACATTGACATCATATATACTCGATGTATCAACCAATTACTAATTTTATGTATTTATTTGGAAATAATTTCATAGTCAGTTTTCGTCATTTTATATTAGTAAAAAAAGTGAGTATTCTAAGAACATATACGTTTTGTAATCAGTTCTAGTTCCGACAATGAAACTTCCATCGAAGACGAAGATAGTTCTTATACAAATGAATCTCAGATGACTTCTTCTAAAGAGAGTACCCCAGAACCGTTTACATTCAGGTCCCTCTTTCCTACCATGAAAGAGGTTTACGGTACAGAATTGAAGAAACCGAGTGCCGAAGATATTCTGACTTACAAAAAGTAAGTTTTATACAATTTCTTTTCAAGTTTCTGTGTACACATTTTTATGCAAGAAGTAATGTAAAAAAAGGTGTACGATGATGCGAGTGTAGAGAAGGTATTATAGGCAAATTGAAATAGATAAAATACAATTCAAATATGAAATTTTTTGAAAATCAAAACGTTTCAGTACCGATTATTTGAAAAATTTGCTTTATGTGCCTATTGTTCAATGTAATATTTTTGTTCATTATTAATTATTTTCATTGTGATTTCTGAAATTAAATGTTTTTTTGCAAAAATGAAAACTTTATTGTTTGCAAAAACAGGCTGTACCAATGAATATGAAACAAGGCCAAGTACTTATAGTTGAGAAGAAAATCTTGCAAGTATATTTTTAACCTTGTCTCTAACTCCTCTTCGACGGGGTGTGATACAGATCTTCAATTTTGAATGGGATCAGGGGTTAAGGGATAAGTCATTTGAAAGGCAGGTAATTTTTATTTTTAACACTACCTAATTTTCAAAATTTGATGCAGGATTATCGAGAAATCTCATCAACTTTTAGCCCTAAGACTCCTAAGCTGAGCTTTCTGAGCTAATTTCATGCTATTCTCATTATAACGGCCTCTATGTTCAGGAATGTATGTCAGTGTCAAGAATCCATCACTACTATTTTTAATGCAAAGTTTCAATAATGGATGATGTTCTTATTGCAAGCATATTGGTAAAGAAATAAGTAAAGCGATTCTTAATAAACATCATGTTAATTACACAATGAACAATTATTCTTAAAAGTGACCGCAGTTTAGACCACAGGGAGACATTCACGAGGATGATACTTCTCAAAAAATAAAGGGTTCAGTGGTGAGAGGTATACTTAAAAATATTGTAAAAGTGAACAATAACCCAAGTAGGGGGGTTTTTTTGTACCTTGGGAGCTGTCTGACTTGTCCATTTAGTCCAAGTCTCCAGAAAACACTGCAGCCTGTTGGGCTTATTGCGTTTATTCTCCCATCTTCTCATGACACCCATTCCATCAGTCTCGTTCCCTGTACTAGTTTGTACAGGTTTCGTGTTAGATGTTCGTCATATTCTTCTGGGCGTAATTTTGTACGTCCATAAATTGCCTGCCTCCTGTGATTCATTCGCATAAGATGTGTGGAGAGCTGTTTCTATCCCTTCGTTGCATAATCTGCAGCTGAGTCCTCCGTTGTACAGCCCCATTTTATTCAGGTGTCCTCTAAGCGGACAATGACCAGTTAGTAACCCTGTAATTATTCTGAGCCGATCCCTACTATATTGAAGTACTTCTTCGGTTCTTTTCTCGGACGGTTCCCTAATGAAAGTTCTACTGTGTTTGTTGCCAGGTACTTTTGTCCAAGACTCTGTATGCTTCTTATTGGTCCATGAACTAATCTGGTTTCGTACCAATGATTTTGGTACCCCCAGAGCTGGTTCAGGACCTATATATGAAGTTGATGACCCGCGTCTAGCGCATTCATCAGCTTTATCATTACCTGTGATTCCTGAATGCCCTGGCACCCAGTACAAAATTAATTCGTTCCTGTTTGCAAGTTCATTCAGTTCTTCATGACATTCCCAGACCAGTTTTGATGTCACCTTCGGGTTTGTCAGAGCCCCTAGTGCGCTCTTGCTGTTTGTAAAAATATTGATCCGCTCATTTCTTTGAGGTCTCAATTTAATAAGCCTTGCACACTGCAAGATAGCATACACTTCTGCCTGAAAGACGGATGTGTATAGTCCTAGCGGATAGCTAAATAGGGTGGTAATTTGACAACAGTTCTTGTACGGCTTTCATTAATTCGGATACTAATTACAACTGAGATCTTTCCTAACCGAACATCATACAATCATAAAAAAATTACCTCCATATGAAAAGGTGATGAATTCATATATAGTTTTGGTGAAATTATTATTTTTTTTTGTATCAAAAGCGTTTATTTATCTGTTCTAGCCATGCAAATTAGTTGGTTTATGGGAGGGTTAACGTAAAATCAACTGTATTTAAATAATAGACCTTGAATCCTAATTCTAGGGTACTGAAATAACTGATAAATGACCCTCACCCCGGATGTAATTGACAGACCCAGTTCAAAATTACCTAGTGCCAACTTTAAGATATTGTCCTTGTTTCATATTCACTAGCACACCCTGTTTACTTATTTGATATGAAAACTATTCTGTGCAAATATATATAAAACTAGATTAACAATAGAGAGCAACAAAATATTATTCTTGTGCGGCAAAGTAACAGCTGTTTTAGAGGGTTTTTGGTGTGCTGATTCCAAATCCACGGATGTTTATAACAGCTGGTGTTTTCAGTTGGCTACAGTGTCACCAACTTATATGTTGTTCCCCTTAAAAATCCCAGTGGAGGGTCAAATAGACCCTCCACCGCAACCCGAAAGAGTTTATTGTGGCTCACACCTATTCACACTCGACCAAATAAAAAAAGTTTGTATAGTGAGTGGTCTTTCAGGTCAGATGGTAAGAGTACGGCTCTGCCGAACTCTAAAAACCTGATTCGGTCCCCAGCGGAGCAGGCACAAAGTATGTGCTCTTCTGTTTCATCATCTTCCAAACAGAGGCGACAAACACTGTCTTACGACAGTCCGAGTCTGCATATGATGTTAGGCCTGTTAGACATCGTAGTTCATCCCTACTGTAGTCCAACAACTGTTTGGTATCAAGCTTCGAAGTGGAGCTTTGGAGATTTTGCCAGAAGTCCATAAATCTTCTTGCCATCCAGGTGTTCAATCTTTGTTTGGCAAAGCCTAAAGCGATGCCAATGACAGGTTTTGGTCCTATGAAGCTGCTTGCAGCACCCTCCTTTGCAAGGGAGTCAGCAGCCTCATTGCCTTCCAGGCCAGTATGGCCTGGAATCCAGACCAGAGATAATCTGTTAAGCTTGTCGCTCACTTGTCCGGCACGGCGCTGTCCGTCGCCTGATGGCAACGGGTAGTAGCATCGCCCACTTGTCTACCTACAAAGAAATTTCACTTGAAATCGAGCTGTGACAGAAACATGTCTATCATTAGCAGTTCTGACGAAGAAGTCGTCATTATAGTGGTCGCATTATTGAATGTAGAAGTTACAATAGTTACAAAAAAGAATGTTGTGGGTCTATTCCATTAATCAAAAGAGGACAAATCTAGGAGAGTTTCATCATCTTTTCAACGATCTGAAAGAAGACGAGGAGAAATTTTTCCAGTATTTCCGAATGACTCCAGGTGAATTTTCAGAACTTCTGGATATTCTAGAGCCTTAACAAGCAACTTAATTTTTCCTCGCCGATTTTCATAGGTAGCGTCTGACACTGTGCTGTCAACTGATGGAATAGCAAAACATAAAGACTGAAACTTCCCAGGCACTTTTGGACAAGTTGATGCTGGCAAGCGCTGGCCGGCGACGGACGCTCTTGGCTGTACCGTGCCGGGCTAGTGGACGGTTGTCCATTCATTGCCATTTTTCTAATCCTATCCGTATTTTGACGGGACGGACCGTGCTGTGCTGTACCGGACAAGTGAGCGATACGCTTTAAGTCTTCCTATCGAGGAGAGTCGTTTTTGGTAATTTGCTACCAATTTAGACGTTGCTCGGTAGGAGCTAAGAGCTTCCAACGCCGCTTGACTGTCAGAGAATATTTTAATTGACTTGTGTATGAGGTTGGATTCTTCTAATCTCCCCGCACACAATTCAATAACGTAAATTTCCGCTTGAAATACAGTCTCATAGGTTCCTAGGCAGGTTGATATCTCTGTCCTGCGACTGAAAACACCTGCACCAGAACCCGAAGGTGTTTTTTATCCATCTGTGAACCAACAACTATCTGCTCTCAGTCATAATATGGACTGGGCATCAAAGAGAAAACATTGACTACACCAAATAAAAAAAGATGAAGAGATTAACGTCTAGGCATGTACGCCACTCATACACGTCACGTAAACGTCAGATGCGAAGTCACAATGTTTTATACGTTGCATATTTCCATTAGGTTTGTTCTAGCAGCGATTTCAAACGATACGGAATCGTACGAAGCATGCGCATACGAATATAGGCGTTCTAGCAAAGCAAATCCAGGATTCGAACTAATAATCGCATGTTCTAGCGAAGACGAAATCCAGTTTGCAAACCGTATGAGAACTGTCGAAGTAGTCCAGAGGAATTCGTAAGGATTTTCAGTTTGTGACATGCGCAAATATTCGGAGTGATCCGATATCACGTTTGTTATGATTTTGGAATATGGATTTGTTGGTTATGTTATGTCCTAAAGAAATGAGAAACCAAAATAGAAATATTTAGTGGCCTGATAATTGGTTTAAAAATCTTGTTTTTTATAGAACGACAATCCTCAAAACTGTCAATTTTTTCATATTTGCGTTTGGAAATTCAGGTAAAATGATTTTATGTTTTTGAATGAAAATCAAGCAAGCATTTGGTGATTTTCAACTAAGCATCAACTATTCAACTCCATTATTACAGGTAGGATTAGCCGAAATGTCATCAGAGTCATCAAGCTCTGAATCAAATTGGGGAAATAATTCTGAATCATCCAGTGATGAGGAACTTATCGAAATGCTGTTTCATCACCATGAGGAAGAGGATGAAGATAATCACATCAATAGAGATGCTGCAGACCACAGAAATTTTGTAGCTTGACAAGTTTTAAGATAGCAATAAAATTGTAATATTTCTGTTTGTTGATGTTCATTTCATTGTTTGGCATAAGTTAAATAAACATCCATTCAGGTAAAATAAGAATGATTTTTAAAACAGTATAAAAATATAATTTGCTCAAGGGTGGGTACTTTATGACCGGATTAAGAGTCAATTAAAATAATCGGTGCTGAGAATGACACCACATCCTGTCATTTGCTAGAGAGACAGCACAGCCCCAGCACTGATTATTTTAACGGGCTGTTAATCAGGTCGTAAAGTACTCGTCCTAACACATAAACTAATAACTTCTTTCTATATAATATTACATAACAGGAACCCTATGTATGACATAAGATATCAAACTAAATCCCTCATACCAACATTGAATTCAGAATATTTATCAACATCTGAATTCTTATTTTTGCTCATTTGTCTGAGCAAATTATTTCTAGTTTCTAATAGTTCATTTCTCTTCTTTTTTATTTATAACTTTTCTTTTTCCAATTTTAACATTTCTTCTATTTTGAATTTTTCCATTTTGACCAAGCCGATAACTATTCAAGCCAATTCAATATGTTCATTTTTATCGGTTTTCATCTTCACTTTTCGCTGCACAAAATATAAATTTCAAATTTCCAACTAATAAGTCAGTTTAAATGACAATTTGACAATTGACATTTATCAACACAAATAAGCGTTCTAGCAGTACATGAATCCCAAACTATTTACAACCAGTCTCACGGCATACATGCGCAGTTGGCCAGTCCATAACACCAGCTTCAAACCATCCGAAATTTCTTGCTAGAACAAACCTATAATTTGATTTGTCACATGATGCTGTGACGCAGTGGCCAAGACGTGTGATCCGCAGGTGGAATATATTTAAAGGTGACGTCACGGCCAGTCCATATTAATATCATGTCTCTGTTGTTGGTTTTAACCGGAAATATCGGCATAAGTGGAATCATACAAATCTGCCTTCTGTAATACGCCCACTTTCCCTATCAGAATACCTACCAATTCAAACATTTCATGAACTCCTGCAGTTCTTTGAAGATGAACATGTATTTTTTATTGGTGATATTACAGCAGACGAAGACTGTGTTCATGTTCATGTTGCTTCTTCTATGATCCCTCAACAATCTGACCAATAGGAAATGCATTATTATTTGAGGCACGTGAATTTTTTTAGAGAATTTTTTGAGTTACCTGCTTCTCGGCTAGCAGAAAAAAGTTTTTCTACCTTTGGAACAAAATAAACGTTTTGTCCTAAACGAGAAAAGGATTTACTTCAGTTTTTCTCTCGTGACAAAGCATTGATCAACTTGAAAAATTTTGATTTCAATATGAGTATGAAAATATATTACTCGAATAGTCACTTGAACCGTTATCCTGACAATCTGAAAGGTACTGTTGGAACTTGCAATGAGACAGCCAGGAAAGGTTTTTTGTTCGGGAATTTTACATACGAAGCTTCAGTGAAATCGATTTCTGTTATATTCATGTTAACACCTAACCATTTAATTCAATAAGACTTATGTAGCATTAGTATCTCCGAAAAATAGCTTATAGAGCAAAAATGACATCATTTCTGGGTTCAGCACATTTAAATCAAGAAGAAACCGGTATGAATTTCTCAGCACCAAAACATGCATTGACCTGCCCACTCCATGCTTGAGAAACTTACTCATTTATTAAATATCTACTTCACTTTTGGGTTTTTTTTTAATAATTATGGTAGGAATAATTTCTGAAAACTATTTTTTTATAGGTATGTTCTGATTGGCAAAAAAGCTAGCGGTTCTGCAATGAACGCTTTCAATCCCATATCTAGACCAATGAAAGCTATGGGAGAATTCCCTAAAGATAGTTGCTTTGAAGTTACTCCTCCAACGGTATCACAGGACTCGATTGAAATATACAAAAAATATATAAGCGTAGGAAAAAACGGTGGTTTCCAACCCAAGCCAAGTGATATGGAGATTTATCGGAAGTATGCTAGTTATAAGTGAAATCAATTATTCATGTGATTTTTTGTTATTTTTATTTCGTTATTGAATAAATGTTGATGTTGATTATCGAATACAATTTCATTACTTTTTTATCCTGTCAACTTTTGCATCAGAATTTAAAAAAATATTACTTTTCCGAATAAAGGAAAAAGTCAGCAATTATAAATAAAATCCCTGCAGAAATGTGTGAATCATCGCCAAAAGTTTCCTTTAATACAAATCAGAAGGAAGCTCAACTTTAAACAACCACTTTCTCTCACAAGTATTGAATTACCTTTCATAGACAGGTTTTCTAAATTATAACATTAAATTGAGGTATGATTGAGTTCATAGAAACACAAATTTCTAACAACTAATTGGAATACTGCAAATTCCTTATTAATGAATTGAATTGAATCCCATTCATTGATGGTAAATTTTAGGCAATATAAATAACGAAACAGAATTTTAACATCTGGCGTTCTAACCACAACATTTTTGCCCACCCTATAAATCTTGATAGGCCTTCTACTAAGCAAGCAGGCATCACATGAGAGGAATAAAACTTTTCACATCATGTCCTGATGACGCCAACTAGTGGTAAAACTCAGGTCAAGAAGAGTCTGGTGCGTGTTGGAACATCATAAATGAAAGGGTATTTATGTAAAAAGTAATGTGTTTTATAATCGGTCACTTTTCATTACAGTCAAAACAGTTCAAATTCAAACAAAGTTTCAAATAATCAAAGAACTTATTTTTTAATCTTCAAAATATAGGCCAGTGTTGTGAGTACAACCAATATCAGCTGAAAATAAAGAAGCGATTTAGAATGATTAAGTTATCTGATTTTTCACACATACCTGTAATAATATCGTGATATAAGCATGGGATTTTAAAATATTTCTGTGCCACACAAGGTCCCTACTCAAGGCATCTAAACATCCTTTGAAAAAAGTGTTGTTTGAGGTACATACGGCCTGAAACATAATGTAAAATCGATGAAGGGGTATCACAAATAAAACGAAACGGCAATTCTCAAACTTCGAAATCAAGAGAAGCTATTGAAACCAATGACATGACATGTAAGAATTCTTATCATTTCAGAGAGCTAAATTCGATTTCGACCTGCTAAATATGTTTTCGAAATCTTTCGGATACCACAACGGATTGGTCATTCACAATTTCCATAGTTCAAATGAAAAAATTTTGTTTGAAATATTGTTCATGTACATAACTCACATTACTGCAACAGGAATTGGGTAACTGCATACCATGTTTTGACCAATCAAGGTAGCTGTTGACTCCACAACATTCTAATTGCCGCTGGGTCTTATCCCAAGCGTTTTTGTGGGAAATGCTGGCATTTATTTTCAAAAAAGAAGAATGGACTGATTGGTTCAGGTGTTCATTTTCTATACTGTTCACCAATATTGAAGGGCTGAGATCAATTTTCAAACTGTACATGAATCCTAGGATTGCACCGGTTACGAGCAGTATTGTCGAAAGTGTGATCAAAAATATCAACTGAAATGCAATAAAAATATATTAAAAATCTCTTTAACAGTCGAAAAAAAACCGTGGGTCGGGCTACCTATCGGGCGCGTCCCCAGGTGGCGGATAGGGGAACGGTCAGGGGACTGGAGGCCTTGTCTGGGAAGCCAATGTGGTCATACGGACGGGGTCGCTGGACTCCTGGTCAGTGGCAGAAATAAGTAGGGTGAAGAGAACTAAAACCCCCTAAAAGCCTTTGCAAAACATGCCACCGTGGACCAGCCTACCCAAGCTAAGGTGTAAGGAATCGTGCCGACAGCTGAATGGTCGCAGGATTATATACGGTCACGAACGATCCCCTTGGGGAACTGAGCGAAACCTCATTGTAATCAGCCTACCTCTAGTAATGCGGGGCTCTGCCAGAGGTGACCAACTCTTCCCTTGTTACTCGTGGGAACACACATGAATGAAACAACACAAAAACAGAAACAATAAAAACAAAAACCAATCCCGAGGCTGGACAGAAGTGCTCACCTCAATCTAGGGCTGGGGATGAACAGAAATGTCCACCTCAGTCTACCGCTTGGAATGAGGCTGGACATAGCAATTCACCGCCAACAGCAAGGGCACTTCCTGCGGCGGGCACCAAGAGCTCCGCCTTGAATAAAGGCAAGTAACCGGCTGCCCCTGCAGGAAAGCTCCCTCACATGTGCACCTCCACGGAGGGAACCCCAAGAAGGTTGAAGAAGCCGCGCGATGACAGTAATATCGCTGCACCTTCCAAAACCTTCGCGGAGGCCACCGTGAGACACCTCAAGGTTGCCAAAGAGAGTGTATGTTTGGCGAGTCTTGGCCTACACCTGCCAATATAAAGGAGGAGGAGATATCTCCTAGTGACCTGTTCACTTTCCTGGAAAGGACAGGATGGACGATGACCTAGGAGGACAACTCCTCGGAGGATAAATGATGGAATCGGCCGATACTTGATGAAAATCCATAACTAACGTATTCTAAAAACACTTGATTGTGTGGTTTTCACTAAACAGTGAAAAACATACTCAATCAAAAACAGAAAATTATGTTATATAAGGGTTAGTAGAGCACCATCTGAAATATGGTATAATTGGTTGGGGTGGAGTGTCGAAAACTCATCTACATTCCCTTGAGGTTATGCATGAGAGATTTATCAGATGTATCCTAATACACCTCAGTTACTTTGGCAATAAAGTTCAGCAATATTTCGTATTTTCTATTCTCTTTCCCGAAACAGTGAAAAATGTATTTTGAAGGCATCATGAATATTTGAGCTTAGAACAGGCTCAAATCTCCTACTGATGATTATCGAAAAAAAATTGCATACGACTTGATAAAATACTCTGACAATATGTCAAACATATGTCCCCTGTGCGGGCGATCAACAGAAGTTTCAAATATAACTTTAGACTGCATTATTTGTGATAAATGTGACATGTGCATGTACACGTACATGACATGTACACGTACATGACATGTACATCAGAACTATATTGAAGATTAAAAAATTTAAAAAAACTACTTTCATTATACCTGTGGGTAATTATATTTGTGTTATATGTAGTATGTGATTTTTCTTATTCTGGAAGGATAATTAATTCATACAACGGTTCCAGTTAACACCGCTATAAATATATATTCTGAAATTTCTGATCACATATTTTTATGGCATTTATGACTCTTTAGCGCCTCCCACATTTTTGTTAAAATTATTGTAATAAACTTTGATGAGCATTCATTTTATAATATGAATATTGAAGGTACCTAGTAGTATTAGCTGATATCAAGATAGAGTACGATTTAAAATCAAATTGTTCTTCCATTTTAAATTCGTATTATTTTTATTTTATTGAGTTTATATTATCGAAGTCAATTTGCATTATGAGTCATTTATTATGTTTTTGTATCATATTTATTTTTCATATGACATGTACATCAACGGCTTTCGATATTGTTTCCTATATATTGTTAGAATTAAACACTGAACTCTTTCAACTAATACTCATGTTTACTTTCTTGATATAAACTATACCAAATACAACTGAGCAGCTTTTGTATCCGATTACAGAGAAACACCGAATGAATTCGTTATCCTCATAAGAGAATAGAAAATACGAAATATTGCTGAACTTTATTGCCAAAGTAACCGAGGTTCCTAATACGGAAAGGATACGACTACCCTAGCGATCTACTTTATTCAGAATCTGGAATATTTGATCCCACACAGCTGTTTTCATAAATATTACTGCTGTAAAGCATAAAAACAAAAAAGAATTAACTACTTATCACCATAAATATGCTACATAGTATCGTCATATTCATGCTCAAATCAGTTGGGCAGAAATTCTACCGGTATTTAGGACCAGAACTCTAGTTTTCTTCCTGAAAATTTAAGAAGCGAATCAAATCTCAATAACTTTATGACAAAGATTAAACTATTTGTCAAGAATAAACCACGAGCAGAGATACATACACAAATATAATAATAAATACTTACTTTCACGATTGTGGAAGTAAGTATTTTCACTCATCCCCATGACCTACATTGCCGGTTATTTTTCCAGCTTTTAGCATTCGTCGTCAATCAATTCAGTACTTTTCGCTGATCGTTATTGTACCCATTGACTCAGAGTATGCATTTCGCGGTTTTGCACTGTAGTCATATGAATATCGAATACGAATTATGAAAATCTGTATCTATAGAGTAGAGAGGGTGAGTGTAAGCCCACAGAACTTAGGCCACACATAACCCAGTGTACATCCTCCCAAGGAGTTGTCCTCCAAGATCATCGTCCATCCTGTCCTTTCCAGGAAAGTGGACAGGTCAGTGGGAGACATCTCCTTTATATCGGAAGGTGTAGGCCAAGACTATCCGAACACACACTCTCTTATTGATGATAACTCCGGGCACTCGCATAGGACATGCCTGACAGTCTCATTTTCCTGTTCACACATCCTGCATAGAGGTGTGTCCACTAGCCCCATATTATGGAGGTGGTTCCTTAGTTGACAGTGGCCAGTCAAAAATCCTACTGTTAAGCGTAGATTTTTCCTGGTCATCGCCAGATATTTCTTCGGCGCCAGCTTCCCAGGGTCGCCCAAGGTGATCCTGGCAAAATTGCATCCTTTGATTCTATACCATCTCTTTAGGGATTGAGCATGGGTGTGGGTAGTCCCGCAATTGTCGAAGTCATCAGGCCGTAGGTGCCACTGGGTCCTAAAATTCTTTAATCCACCTTAGGATAATGTTGTTATCTACCGAGTCTATGGCTATATCTTGGCACTCTAAGTACTAGCCCTGAGGCTACACGTTGTCTGTTCGAGGCTATTAGGGCTTGTCTGATGTCAGTGCATATTGTTATGTTTTTGCCAGAAATTCCTTTTCTGGTTATTTCTTTTGTGGCGATTGAGATACCAGCCAGTTCTGTTTGGACCACGCTGGTATTTTTTCCCATTCCCCACTTAATCCTTAGGCTTAGTGATCTAGATTACACTCCACATCCTGAGCCTTCTTTGGTTATGAGAAGCGTGATATGTCGCCTCCCTCATTTTAAAATCTACCCCATTTGCAACCTCATATTTCTATGAACTACGGTCAACATTGAAGGACAGCACATAGTCAACAGTAACCTTTAGTGATGTAATATTATCAAGTAACACGTCGTATCAAATATCATAGGATGATAAATTTTGACACTTGAAACATTTTGAGGCTTGAAAAAAAACACTATATATGAGATGGTCGTTTTCACTATACTTAGTAGAAAGTTTTTTTGGCAATGAATTGGGCTGTATTTATTTTCGTGCATCGGGACTAATTCTGCCAAACTTCATTTTTGTCACTATTTAGTTATTTTCCTGTAACAGGACGCTCTAGTATATAAACTAATAGTGGCTATTCTATTTTTTATTTTGCCCCGTTGCGTCATACCAGAAGCGAATAGAAAATTAGCGGCCACGCAGTATGATAGTAACTAACCCCCGAGAACAGTTTTAATTTGGTAAGTAATGATTTCCCAAATTCAGAACCTCGGTCACTTTTATTTTAACCTAGATTATTTTCGGTCTAAATATTCATATCAGTTTTCAACGGGATAAATAGTGCTTCCAAAAACTTTCAAAAATAGTGAGATCTTTTAGACTGTTTACGTAATACTACTGCAACACATACTAACTAAAGCAAAAGTCTGTTATTGGAAAAAAAGTGCAACTTACCAGAAGTAATAATCGAAAAATATTCTTTTTGTTATGAATCGAAGCAGCTATGTAGCTCGTCGGGATACCCAGAATGCCTGCCGGCAGAGTGAAATATGGGACGTCCGTCTTGATATCCACCAAATAGAAATATGGGAATTTCCTCACTAAGGACCAGATCGATAGGCATATCAAAATCATACTGGAGCTCTATAAAATAGGTACTTAAACTTATACGAAACAGATGTCTTTAATGTACTTTCACCTTGTGAAAATTGACAATTACAATTTTCAAGTTTCAACACGCCAAAGAAATAAAAAACATCGTTTCGAAAGGTGTGAAATTGAATATTTGAAGTACTATTTTCTTAAATATTTATCACTGTGTATTGTATAACCCAAAAAAATCATTGAATAACTACATGGCGCAGTCAGTAGGATTTTGAATGTCACTGATGAAAACAAAAGCATTTGAACTTATCAAGAGATAACTTAATAAGACTAAAGATGTTGTGAAATATATTGCAAATGTCTACTTCGAATATCAAAATAGGGTTATTGTAGAACTCCAGCTCCAGCTGGCATTGTTGATTCTAGTGTGGGAATAGTAGTTGGTGCCTTTCCCAAAAATCGACTGATTGTTAGCTCTGGTCAATCAGCAATCCCGGAAAAGAATGTAGAACCAATAATGGAAATTTCACAAAATATTCATGGGTTCTTTCATGGATTGGTTTTTTGGCTGTTTCAATACAATTCAAACAGACATACACGGACTATTTAAAAATTCTTCGAAATGAGAGGCTGCTGAAGTCTATCCCCAGATAATTAAAAAAAGCATGGACACTGCTGAGAGCCATTTGTGAAAATAAAAACATTATTGTTCTAGTCCATATAAAATTTAATATCCAGCGATTCAAATCCAACGTGAATCGCTACTTTCGCACAAGCCTCAATGACTTTCCTTAGAGCGCCTTAGGGACTTTCCTGTAGTGCTTGTGTTCTTCCTTGAAAAAAACATATAGTAAGGGGGCATACTCGAAGACTAAAGGTTAATGGACTGACATTGCAGACACAATTGCAGACCGGTTTCAGGCTATTTAGCCACTCGTCAATGCAAGGTAGTGTCCCTCATCAACATGATTTCCCATAAATTAAATTCAAATTCCTTTCAGAGTATCATTCTTCGAACTAAGCTGAAGCTAACGACAAACAACATATTTGTCATTGCCCATCTGCCAAAATTCCTCGTATAAGGATAAACATTTTCACATATGTATAGTATTTTTTGTCCTTTATACGAGGAATTTGGGCGATTCGGATGAGCAGTTGGTTACCTCGTTCACGGACAGATGGGGCGATAACAAATATGTTGTTTGTCGTTCGTTTCAGCCTACTTCGAGAAATGATTCTCTGAAAGGAATTCGATATTCAACTATGGAAAATCATCGACTTCATGTTGATGATACCCTGAGGAGAGGTCAAATATCCCGAAACCGGTCTGCAATTGTGTCGGTTCCGATGATTGAAAATCTATTTCAATAATTGAAAATCGATTCCAACAGTTGTATCGCCAACAACATATGCAGGAATATCTTATGTAAAGAATATTGCACTGGCACCTGTCGAATATAATACAACACTCTTGTGGTATAAGCCAGGGGAGTAGTTTTCCGATGAGTATCAGTCAATTAACCTGTAGTGTAGGTGAGTTGTGACTGGCCTTAACGAATTGTTCATTTTGATAATCCATATAGAATCATTATATAATCTCACCAATGTAAAATATGTAGTAATGAATATTACTGGAGTTTTTTCTCAATACCAAACCATTATTTCAACATCTCGACACATGTTTTGAACACCAAACCCTTATTTTAACACCTCTACACGTGTTTTGATTACCGAGTGATCAGCTCCAAGAGGAAGATTGAGTTTAATCTTCCTCTTGAAGAAGATCACTTGGTGATGGAAATGCGTGTTGAGGTGTTAAAATAACAGTTTGGTGTTAGGAAAAACTCCAGTAATATTCATCAGTGTATAGAGTACAAAATTCTCTATTGATTAGTGTCTACCACGACACAGTGAAATAAATATTTATTGAGATATGAAGCTACAAAAACACATGACATTAAAACGAATTTTATACTGATACGATTGTGTACATACCATTAAGTGTTTTGTGAAAGGATTTGAGAATGGGAACAAATTTGATTCTACTGAGACGTCATTCAAAAAAAGGAATTGAAAGTCTTAAAAGGCCGGGTATATGACCAAGAAATTTCATTGGTGAGGTAGTTGATTGTTACTACTTCAATCCTAGTTCGAGAACTATTACTGCATTCACTATATAAACTTGAATTAACCTAGCAAATCTTACCAAACAGAGAACTGATATGAAACAGAGTAAAAAACAAGTCTCATTAACGTTTCTTCCGCTCTCACTCTGGGGAACCACTAAGGTATTATTTTTCTTCCATTTGACATTCCAAGGCATTTCCCAGGATTCAGCTGAATGTGTTTTCTTCAACATTTTATGATATTCGTTGCAGAACTTAGATTTCAATAATCAGATCAAAAATGAGGTGACATATAGTCAAAGTGACGGACAAGCTGAAACTGACAGGAGTACTTTGCCACTGAGTGCAGTAAAAAAGTTAGCTATATGGAATGAATAATGCATAACTTGCAATGCTCGATTATGAATCCCATCAGGCTGTAAAGCTTGCAGCCTCATGGGATTCATAAGGCTGCATCCGGCTGCATAAGGCTGCATCATAAGGCTGCATAAGGCTGCAAAGCTTGCAGCCTGATTGCAAGCTTTGCAGCCTGATGGGATGGAATTTTCGAAGTATTTGTTTCGAAATATTTTTTTTTCGTGTAATTCAATGTGTATATAAAAGTAGCTGTTTCAGAAGGACTTTCTTTCAGTTTGTGTCTGAAAGTTACTTCTTTGCATGATCTACACATCCATGTATAGAGTTACTTATTTTCAAATTGATTACTTCCTTTCTTTGGAAGATTCCCTCATTTTTTGTATCAAGATGGAGTAGTAGAAAGCCAAAAACTTTCTTTCCCAGAGATTTTCGAATTCAGATAAATATCTGCATATTCCGAGTACAACTTATTAGTGTCTATTTTTTTTCCTGAAACTCAAACCACCATACCTTATATGAAAGATGCCAGAATTTGAGTTCGGTGTATTACGTTGGTTATGCGATATCAAACGACATGAGTAGATTTAACCCATTCGTAACATAAAGTAATAATTTTGTAAATGATTTGTATGCTTCATCTTGTAGTGTTGCCCAGATTGGTGCTGAAAAGACAATGAAGCAAGTGTCTTATTCCAAAATATCGGATGACCGCCACTGAGGACGGCACTGTTCAATGTACAACTTGTCAAATGCAGGAAGAACTTTCTTAATTACGTTATGACCCCGCCCACTAGATGTGCACTCGTTAAAAGAAGGCTGAGAGCGAGAAAGAGAGAGAATTCTCAAGTCTCTTCCTAGATTTGGCAAGCTGTCAGTGAAATTTCATCTCTTTCATATTATACTATATTTCGTAGTAATCCTGTGATGTTAGTTCCATATTCCATAGCGAATGTTTGGAATACAAACTGAAAATAGCTAAGTTATAACCTTGATTTTTGCAAACATCTTTTAGAGATAAGTAATTTCTTTACTTTCCATGAAAATACGATCCCCAAGCAAATTTTCATCTATCTCAAGTGTTTAGCTTTTTGTTCACCTTTTTGTCACAAGTTTATCGTGATTGATAACAAATATTGGCTTTGATCTCGAAATAGTACACGGTCATCTTTAGCTCTCAACAGAATCGAAGATAACGAGTTTATTTATTTCAGATTTATTTCAGAAACAAAAATCAACATGTATGTGTATAATCAGTGAAGCTCTCGAATGAGTGTGAATGGGTTATTTGTGTCCATTAGCGAAGATGACATATTTGTAAATTTGTGATATATCATAATAATACTTACTACTTTCCTAAAAATGGATTCTAGTAAAAAGTTTGTCAATCCCTCGCCAGAAATTAAAGCAAATGTTTTATCGAAAATATTTTTTTGGTGAGTAAGATTTACAATCTACATTCATTCACAGTGTGTTTACAAATTTGCCGGTCTGCAAGATAACTATGTCATCTGCGTATGCAGTTGTTTAGAATCCATTTTTGTTAAGGTGATTAATTAGGGTATCCAGAACTATGTTCCAGAGAAGGGGTGACAAGACCCCTCCCTGTAGACATCTCCTCATGACCAGTCCTTTCACTGTGATATCTTCTACATTAATACTTATTGCTCTACTAGAGAGCATCTGGAGTATCCATTGTCCCACTACCAGGGGTACATTTCTGGAGTGTAGTTGCTGGGTAATTGTTGGAAAGGATGTTTTATCAAACGCTCCCTCGATATCTATGAATATACTTTGTTGTCCATTGACCTCTCGATTCTGCCAACCACATGGTGAAGGGCCGAATCAGTAGACCTTCCCGGATTATCTCTCTGTATCTGTAGAGTAGGGAGGGTGAGTGTAAGCCCACGCACTTAGGCCACATGTGACCCATTGTACATCCTCCCGAGGAGTTGTCCTCCTAGGTCATCGTCCATCCTATCCTTTCCAGGAAGGTGGACATGTCGCTGGGAGACATCTCCTTTATTTCGGCAGGTATAGGCCAAGACTCGCCGAACACACACTCTCTTATTGACGATAACTCCGGACACTCGCACAGGACATGCCTGACAGTCTCATCTTCCTGTTCACACATCCTGCATAAAGGTGTGTCTACTAGCCCCATATTATGGAAGTGTTTCCTTAGTTGACAGTGGCCAGTCAGAAATCCTACTGTAAGGCGGAGATTTTTCCTGGTCATCGCCAGATATTTCTTCGGTGCCAGCTGGCAAGATTGAGCATGGGTGTAACATTTGACTAGTTCCGCTATTGTCGAAGTCATCAGGCCGTGGGTGCCATTGGGTCCCAAAATTCTTAGTCCAGCCGCTTCCTTGGCTAAAGAGTCGGCAATGCGATTACCTTTACTCTTGTCGTGCCCTGTAACCCACCTCAGGATAATGTATTATCTACCGAGGCTTTGGCTAAATCTTGGTGACACTCTAGTACTAGCCCTGAGGTTATACGTTGTCTGTTCAAGGCTAATAGTGCTTGTCTGCTATCAGTGCAGATTGTTATGTTTTTGCCAGAATTTCCTTTCTTGATTATTTCTTTTGTGGCGATTGAGATGCCAGCCAGTTCTGTTCGGACCACGCTGATATTTCTTCCCATTCCCCACTTAATTCTCAGGCTTAGTGACCTGGAGTACACTCCACATCCTGAGCCTTCTTTGGTTTTTGAGCCGTCTGTATAAATCCGTATTGCATTTGTAGCATCTGATTCTGTGTTCTGATTAATTTGTATTTTGTAGGGTTTATTAAACACAAACTTGGGTTCAATTGCATCACTTGTTGCCTGCAGCATAGGTTGCGCAGTGAGCGCTTCCCGCCATAGGCTCAGCCTCAATTGACCCATTCCTACTTCGAGGTTTACACCAGCCGTGCGCAATCGTACCATGGCCATTAACGCCACCTCCTTAACGTACAGATCCAGAGGGGCCAGACTCGTGATTAATTCCATTGCCGCGGTTGGTGTTGTTCTCATGGCTCCTGTGATGTTTAACCAGGCCATTCGCTGTATTTGATATAATTTTTGGATGGCCGTTGCTTGTAGAACTTTCGGTCCCCATGCAATGGCTCCATACGTTGACATAGGTCTTATTATTGCAGTGTAGATCCAGGTGACCACACGGGGTGAAAGACCCCATGCGCGTTCCACTGTCCTCCGACATTGCTCATAAGCCACGTATGCTCTTTTTGCTCTACTCTGTAGATGAGAGTTCCATGTTAGCTTCTTGTCGGGGATAGTACCAAGGTATTTCACCTCTTCAGAGAAGTTTAGTTTGCTTTTGAAGATTTCGGGATACTCTCCATCAACAGCTTAAATTTGAAACCTTTCTTCTGGAAATGGTGAGACTACATATTCATGGTTGAACTCATGTCCTTCTGTGATTAAATGAGTGGCATATGTGGAATTTATTTCTCCAGTCTGGAAACTATACTTGTGTTCCTTTGTGCGGTCTTTGAACGTTCTTCCAGTTTGACGTATATAAAACATCGGACATGACCCACATGATAATTTACACACTCTTAATTGTTCTGAAACTGAACTTTTATCTTTGTTATTTTCAATGTGCATGCCAAAGTTGTTGTTGGTTTTGAAAGCAATATTTACCTACACCTTTGTTTCGAAGAAAATCTGAAATATTTACAGTGGGTTGGCCTAAGTAGGTTAAGGTTCTATAACTTTTATCCTCTTCTCTTCCAATTGTGTAAACTTCTTTTAAGGCTTGACTGTATAACTTTTTTGATAATAAAGAATGAATTAGACTGCTATCGTAATCATTGTTGACGCCTATTTGTTTTATTATATTCAGTTCTTTATTGAAATTCGGCTCTGACAAGGGTACATTTATCAGTCTGTGGAGCATACTGTTGAAAGCTGCTATCTAGTGCTGATACGGGTGGGTGGACGAATTATGAATGATAATATCTGGTATGTGCCGGTTTACGATAAATTGAAAAATTATGTTTGTTGTTAACTTTTGTTATTGTCAAGTCCAGAACTGGACTGGATATATATCTAATAGCTGATAGAAGAGACCTACAAACACGAGAAGCTCCTACAATTGGTGCTATTTTTCCTCACGCCAGATAAATGATAGAGAGGATACGATCTTAGCAAACCTCCTTCAGATCCTGGTAATAGTCTCACGAATATCTAGCCACCAAACGCAAACAATGATTTCAAGCATTGCGAATATCGGATACCATGTGAGTGCAACAAATCCGTATTAACAAGCGAGGAGAAACTAGTAAATTTGAAATGGAAAAACAGTTCTCAAGTATCAAGAACCACGAAGAGTGGAGAATGAAAAGTGATCCTGAAAACATGCTTGGCAGGAACACCTGGTATACAGATGGGTAGAAAACCGAATATGGAACGGGATCTGAAATTTATTTTGTGCCTATTCGGTCAGTACACAACAGTATTCTAGGCCTAGACTGAAGTGTATGCAATTTTCCAATTCGCAAGGAACATTGATTTGATGCCTCAACGAAATGGACGTTGCACTTGAGACACTGACGAACCCGAAAGTGACATCATGACCTGGGAATGCCGTGGCGAACCGAGAAAACTCTCGGACACGAATAGATTGACTATATAATGGATGCTAGGACCATTGGGAATCACAGGTGATGAAAAAACTCATATTAGTGCCAGATACGGGTCATGAACGCCACTTATAGGCCCCGAACCAACTGTGGGGGAAGCAAAGTCTTTGGTGCGTAACCAGATCGGAAAGTGGATCTATAAGAAACATAAAGATTATTGGAGAAACATACCAGGGAACACACATGGGTAACCTCTATAAAGGGACCGTCCAGGAAGAGAAATGATGAACTACTTTAACAAAGCAAGGATCGGCTGCAGGCTTGAAATATTTTATGCAAATGTGTGGCAGTGGATCATAGGAGGCAAACAGTTTATGGACAACCCAAATTATGTGTAGAAAAATATGATATATATCCAGCAGAGGACCTTGTACAAGGTACAAGATTGTTGGAATGGGTTTCATGAAAAAGAAGGAAGCCCATGAGCGTTTTCCGGAGGCTTGTTGATCTCCCAAGTAGTAGAAAAAAAGCTCACAGAGGAGCCGCTATTTTGAAATTTCGTAGAGAAGTCAGAGCAGTCCATATACTTTTAAATTTTCTACTCGTTGTTTATTTCTTTCGTATTTTTAGATATTATTTTCACCTTTCGTACATGATTCATCAGCATATTTTTCATGCTAGGATTTACAATGATTTTTTCCATTATCTCCGATTCAATTTCAAGTATCTAAGCTGCAATGCTGAGTAGTTTGCGCACCGTAGCAGACGATATCACTTTCGCAATCGCCTCGTCTCCTTTATTGAGAATGTCTGCCATATTTGAAGACAAAATACCCAGCCTAAAATCTTCCAGACCACGGCTAATTCCGAAATCGGCTAATAATTTGTTAAGAGAAAATTTGAGTTGGTTAAAATCCTAAAACGAAACAACTCATCTGGAAATGTGATACATGATTGTATCAGACGTTTACAGATCACGTATTATACCTTAATGGTGGTAGTAATTATTTCAAAATTGGAGTTATTTTGTTTTCAGCTGGATCTTGCCTTTTTTCAAATATGGTTACAACAGAGATCTAGAGGTAAAGGATATTTACAATGTTGTGAACGATGATAAGGCTGGGCCACTGGGTAATCTTTTGGAAAAGTAAGTATTTTCTGTTAAACCTGCTAAGTGTGTGCATTTTTTTATATTTGCAGAGCTTGGGAAAATGAACATAGGAAAGCTAAAAACGATCACAGACCGCCAAGCCTAAAACGAGCTATATACTGTGCTTTCTGGAGATCATATGCAATATATGGAGCGTTTATGTTCATTGAAGCAATTGTTTTGAAGTAAGATAATACTGCCGATATGTAAAATCTATTGAATGGCCTAAGAGACCCATTGAAAGTGATAATACGAAACTTTTTTATGTCACAGGTCTCTTCTGCCTTTAGTACTTGCCCAATATATAGCATATTTTGAAGAGAAAAATGAAATCTATGACATGAGGCTATGGCAACTGAATCATCAAGAAGCTGGGTGGATTCTTGGTACACTTGTGATATTCTTATCTTTTTTGTATGTGGTTATAATCCATTATGCTTATCTTTCCTGCAGAAGGATAGGTATAAGGATTCGGGTCGCTTGCTGCTCAATTATCTACAGGAAAGTGAGTACTGGTTTTGATCAACTAAAATATGATTGTTTGTACAAGACACAATATTTCATACTATATCACAGGAACATCCAATAGTTTGAAATAATATGTAAACTTAAATTGTGAATAGAAAGAATACACTTTTCATAGGAGTATCTTTAGATTTAGGCCAAACTCAACTTATTTGTAGCGATTTTTTCATTGGAAATGTTCAGAAACTATAGCAAAATACATGTTGGCCTGTTTCTGCTGCGCTTTGGTTCAATTTGAAGTCGTAGAGAAATATTGGCCAAAAATCACTCATTGAACAATTGAACAGGGTCAATATATAGACAACAAAGAGCTACAAAGACATGTGATATTATAATATACAAAACTTTTGACATAACCTCATAAAACTAGTCACACCATCATCCCTAAGGTCGCATTGTTCGAAGATCGAAAAATTAAAATACTTTATCTAACCTTGCAGTTCAAGGGATTTTTGATATACTCTATCAGAAACATAATTGATTTGTAGATGCTCAAACTGAACCACGCCTCACTGGGTAAAACTGCTGCTGGTCAATTAGTGAATCTTCTGTCAAACGACGTGGAGCGATTTGAAACAGTTGCCAGATGGTTGCACTATTTGTGGATCATGCCGATTTCATTTGTGGTGTCTTTTTACATCATGACAGACAGCGTGGGGTTAGCTTCGATAGCTGCGATGGTGGTGATTGCAGTACAGGCTATTCCATTTCAAGGTAAGTAATGAAAAAAAAAATTGGTTGCTGCGCCAAGCAGTGTTGGTATTCTCAGTATCTGAGATTTATTATAGAAATATCTAGTACCAACGAAATTAGTGAAGGCGATGACATATCTACTTACAGAGACGCCGTCTTTGAGATTCACAGAAAACTCAATCAACGAATATTAAAGATAAACAAGACTGCCAAGGCGATCTCTAACAAAACCATGCTTCGACATCTGTCTGTATCTGTAGAGTAGGGAGGGTGAATGTAGACCTTCAGCACTTAGACCACATGTGACCCATTGTACATTCTCCCAAGGAGTTGTCCTCATAGGTCATTGTCCATCATGTCCTTTCCAGGAAGGTGTCATGTCCTTTCCACCTTCCTGGAAAGGACATGATGGACAGGTCTCTGGGAGACATCTCCTTTATATTGGCAGGTGTAGGCCAAGACTCGCCGAACACACACTCTCTTATTGACGATAACTCCGGACACTTACATAGAACATGCCTGACAGTTTCATTTTCCTGTTCACACATCCTGCATAGAGGTGTGTCCATTAGCCCCATATTGTGGAGGTGTTTCCTTAGTTGACAGTGGCCAGTCTGAAATCCTACTATTAAGCGTAGATTTTTCCTAATCATCGCCAGATATTTCTTCGGCGCCAGCTTCCCAGGGTCGCCAAGGGTGATCCTAGCAAAATTGCATCCTTTGATTTCATCCCATCTCTTTAGAGACTGAGCATGGGTGTGACGTTTGGCTGGTTCCGCAATTGTCGAAGTCATCAGGCCGTAGGTGCCACTGGGTCCTAAAATTCTTAGTCCAGCCGTTTTATTGGCTAAAGAGTCGGCAATGCGATTACCTTTACTCCTGTCGTGCCCTTTAATCGGCGTTCGACATTAATCGCCCGCCAAGGTACGTACTATGGGGTCTCTTGAATCTCATGTGGATCAGAATCGTCTCAAATTCGACAATTTTGTTTGTCCACGTACTCATTCATCCAGGAATGGGCCTCGTCGCCTCATCAGTTGTCACCTGCTCGAGAGCCAATTCAGTGAATACACGTCATTGTTTATGGTCGATCAGCTTCAGTTCCTGAGTCAGTTGAATTGTGTACTCAAGTCACCACGCAAAATTTGCCAAGTTGTAGTCTGCGGAAGGCCGATTTCTTGTGAGGAGCGACGCTAAATTGACTCCCTCGGATTCTCCTGCATACTCTCACAGACAGCCGCGATGTTTTTGACAGATCTTTTCGCTTTGTGTTGGTCGATTGTTTACTGCACTCGTGTACTACATGGATAAACTACAAATGCATTGTTGGGCTCAACTATCTTTGGAGGACAAATCTGAGAAAGTGAAGACGACGAAATCTTTTTTCACAAAGACACTGTCTATGGGATGGAAAGAAAGCTCAATCGAAGAAATTTAAACATAAACGAGACTCTGCTTCGCGACTTCAGGAGTGGGACAAAAATGTATCCAGCTCTATGCAGTTACAAGATGAAATGATGCTGCTACTCCTGATTTGGGAAAAGAAGACGGAAGTAAAATCAATGCCGAGGGCATCAAGAAGAAAATAATAGCTAGTAATTCAAGTGGCAGTAATTATTCTGTATCATATGTAGAGTATGGAAGAGGAAAAGAATATTTTTAAGTAGGAATGAAACTTTAAACATTCAAACAGTCGCGTGAGTCGGAAAAGTGAATCTTGATATTGGTGAACGTAAATAAACAAGTAGGAACACAAAAAAATGTATGATGATCAAACAGTCAGTTTTATTCTTCATCAGCTTTATTGAAATATGTAAAATCAGTGTTCATATAATTGCAGGATATCTGTCAAAGCTACAAGGGAGATTGAGATTAAAAATAGCTCAAAAAACCGACTACAGAGTGAAATTGATGAGTGAAATAGTATCCGGCATTCAGGTCATCAAAATGTATGCATGGGAGAAGCCATTCGAAAAATTGGTGGAACTATCTAGGAGGTGAGTTGAATACAAAAATAGGAATATGATTCAAGAAATCGAATATTGCAATGATCGTTTGAATTTAATTGTATACAGTAACACCGATGTATGGGAGCCTTTTATTGACAGAGTTACATAAAATTCGTTTTTGTTTTGAATTAGATCCAACAAAACGTGACACTTGTCATTGACAATCGTTATCTGTCAAAATTGACGTTTTTTCGAAAAAAACAAGAATAACATTTGAATTGAAGGGGTTATATTTTTAGGAGTGATTAATTTTTTGGGAAAGAAAGTTTTTGACTTTCTACTACTTCATCTGATACAAAAAAAGGGATGAGAGAATCTTCCAAAGAAAGGAAGGAAGTAACCAGTTTGAAACTCTATACATGGATGTGTAGATCATGCAAAGAAGTAACTTTCAGATACAAACTGAAAGAAAGTCCTCCTGAAACAGCTACTTTCATATAAACATTGAATTATACGAAAGAAAATAATTCTTTCGAAACAAATACTTCTATATGAACACTGAATTATACAGAAGATACTTTTCTCTACTCAGTTTGTATTTCAAACATTTGTTGTGGAATAAGAATCAGATATCATTCACATGAGTATCAGATGGAGTAGTAGAAAGCCAAAAACTTTCTTTCCCAAAGAATAACATCTTTATCGAATTCGGAAAAAACTCATTTGGAAAAATTTCTTCTTCGACGAATATTCGTTAACTATTTTTTCAAATAACAAAAGCTAATTTTTCAATATTGAAAGAGGAATATTTCAAGGAGAGAATAATTTTTGGGAAATAAAGGTTTTGACAAAAATGTGGGAATCTTCCAATGGAAGGATGAAACTCTTTTCAAATATATGGAGATAATTCAAAGAAGTGACTTTCAGACACAAACTGGAGAAGAACTACTTTGATATAAAGATTGAATTACATGAGAGAAAAAATACTTTGGAAACAACTAATTTTATATAAACATTGAATTATACAAAAACAATTTTTATTTTTTGAAAACTTATAAAACAATAATAGAAATTAATTGGCGCTACTGAGTGACTTCATTGATTCCAGTGGCCCATTTGCTTTTTCAGCTGCAGGAAAACCCAGAAAAACCTGCAGCACCACATCATCTGAAGATCTTGATCTGCCAATATCCTCTCTCTCATAAAACAAAAATAGGGTGTCTCCAGAGGCTTCAATAAATTCAATACATCACCAATACGACACGACTATCGTCAAACTTAAACCAGTCCTTTTCATCTTTGACCAAGGCGTAATAATGACCAAATTCAACGCCAGAACCACAGTGAACAATGACTGCGTGAATATTATAATAGTGGTCTGCTAGATTAAAGTGTTCATCTATTTCGAGCCTTCGAAAAAGTTTGGTGCTTCATTCAGAGGTTGTCTTGTTTGAAGACCATCAGTGTTATTATTAGATTGAGTGGTGCCTCAGCTATACTTGTTTTCTTATAACAGTCAGTTAGTTTGGCGCATGTTTGGCAATACAGTCGATCATCACCTCTTAAAAATTCCTGTTCGGTTTGTTCTACAAACAATCGTTATGGAATTGAATCAGATATCATTCACAGGATTGCTACACAAGGTAATATATGAAAAAGGTGAAATTTCGATTACATGGAATACTGTCATTCTCAATGGCGGCCATCCGATGTTTCGGAATAAGACACTTGCCCCATTTCCTCTTCAGCACTAAATATAATAAAAAATCGTTAATTTTGTTTCAAATAACATTCCAAATAATGAAAGAAAAAAAGCAAAAAAATTATGTTGAACGGTTTTATTAAAAAAAGACAATAATGATGTATATAATATACTAAATGAATTTAATTTGAAAAACTAAAAAACACGCTTTTAAAGAACATCGAACTGAAAAATTGAAAACATTTTTTTTGATAAGACTAAAACATTAACGAACGAAAAATAGTAGTATTATTGTGAAAAAAGCGACGGCCGCCGGATATACAAAAAAATATGGCACTAAGCGCCCATGCTACTAGTATTTTTTGTTGGTTATTGTTTTAAGCTTATTCCGTGTTAGGAATCGCACGTTAAAAGGTGAGACCTCGTTGATCCTTAGCTAGCACAAGTTTCGACTTCTGAGGGTTGTCGTTCGTAGGGGTGCGACAGCTGGTTAAAGGAAAAACAGGATTTTAAACAGATTTTTTTATTAAAAAAAATATTTTCAACTTTTTAGTTCGATTTTCTTCAAAAGTGTGTTTTTTAAACTATATTTATACCACTTTCATTTGTAAATATTTGTAACTAATACAATCAGCTAGTCCATATAGGACAAAATTGCAGTAGTTACAAGTAATAGTGGTAAAAAACAGAAAGTTTCATTTCCCATTTTTCATGAGTTACGTTTATGTACATTATACCCAAGTGTTATTGTTAGTAATGAATCAAACTTCAATACATTATTCGATGAGTCGAATTTGGAACCTTTGGTGTGAAATAAATCTATTGAAAACACTTTCTCCTAACCAGAGGACGAAGGTGAGGAAAAATTAAACCGCCCATAGATATAGTACATGGAATAAAAAAAAATTATGAGAAACATTTCTGAAAGATGTTACAATTATTTCCAGGAATTCATATCTACACTAAGTGTTTGACATTTATTCACTTCGAAATACAAGGGAAGAAGGGATTCATTTTCACGTACTTTCAAGCATTTGCAAACAAAATCTCTAAATAAAGTGGAACTAGCCTACCGATTCCAATTTAATCCATTAAGAACATCTATTCGTAACAGAATATTTCAAAACAATCCTGGTAATATGATTGATTAACTACATGTTTGAAAATAAGTATTCATCAGCAAAGATCTACTCAAAATTACAGATATTTCTCTGAACGCATCTGATGATCATTTGAAAGAATGTGGCAAGTCGGAAAGAAACCGACAAGTTTCCGCCATTTTCAAAGCTACAAAAGAATCTTGGGTGAGTGAACCCTATTAATGGAATTGATAGAAATACAATATTTATTTCTTTATTTTTCTGAAATATAAATCCGTCAAGTTCAATGAGATACAAAAAAGAAATTTGGTGTGTACTTTCAATGTGCCAAACTCTTCTGATAAGGTAATAACCATTTGACTGAGTCGGTCAATCAACTCATAGATTGCCTAAACTTCACATTCACATGCGAACTTATATATTATAAAATATTTTTCCAAAAGATGTATTTCCAAAATTTTCATACAACTCAACAATATTTTTCAACGAAAACGATGTATAAGTTGATATACTTACTCTTTCATGAATATTTTAGCTCCCTTGATAATCGCAACCTCTCATAATCCCCATAGCAAATAATTCTCTTTCGTTAAAAATATTAACGAAAATATATTCGTATGGAGCGATTGGGATTTCCATTCGCAAATCTGGACCTTATTTCCATTTTTCACTATCTGCAAACATCATTTTATTCATTTTCCGTTGTGTTTGCTTCAGTACACAATTATAAAGTCTGATGAAAAATGAAAAATCACCTACAGAAAAATAGCCCTCGATTTTCCTCTTTCGCTTGTAGTAGTCTGCATGATAACTATAATTCATCATTTCCAGTCAGAGAGGACAATATAAATCCGGGCTTGCTCCGACCCAAATTATTTTCCCCGCACATCAGCGTCATTGAAATCTGATTTATTATTTTGTGAATGGTGTTATTCCACGATATTAAATTTTGGACCATTCTTTTATTCAACTGTTCAGAACTTGATTCTACTTAACATATGTTATGTTATAACGATTGTTCAACCCAGCAATATTAGAATGAAATAAAATGTTTTTAGTTGAACGTTGTTTCAATGAATGGCAATAAAGTCAAATACATACGGAAGCGTAGAAGGGCAACATATTTTTATCATTTTTTTTTTTGAAAATTACGACTTTAAAACTCGAAATTTTGACTTTCATCTAGGATTGTAGGTATTTGAGCCGCATTTATTCGAATCCGAGGCCGAGTCGAAAGGTCTCGAGCCGAGCCGAATTTCGAGCCGTTTCTTGCTTTTTTGAATTATGAGAGGGTATTGTCTTTGTTCATCCCAAAAACAGTGAATGTTTATGAATAGGAATCAACTAAATTGAATAAAATTCAAATTTAACAAAATAACAAAGTTTCTAATAAGAAAACACTGGTAACTTATATAAGCAGTGAACATTAAATTTGCTAATATGTATTAGAAACTGAAATATTTTGAAGTGAAACTTATTTACGCACGCTAGACATGGGGAGTAAGCTGGTTATTGAGTGACAACAGCGTTACAAAAAATGTGATCGGGCGATGCTAACGGAAGTTGAGAAGGAGGTATAAGTTAGTGAAGATAGATAGAGATAGAGTTGTGTTTCATATAGAACTGTAAGGGCAAGAGAGAGAGCACACATTTACGGTCGAGTAGGCTCTGAAGAATTAGCAGAAATTCTTTCATTTCTTCAGAAACTGTTTTATATAATAATAATTCCATCATGATGAATGGATTTGTTAAAATTACTTTTGTTTGTGTAGGGTTATGACTATGAATGTTGATTTTAATGAAATTTTGGTTCAAAACTTTTGATTTATTTGTTATTGAACAAAACAAACAACAAAATTTTTGTTTGTATAGTGTGTTCAAATCTACTGACATTTTTGGTTTAAACAAATTTACTGTCAGTTCTGAGTACGATTATTTATATATGCTTCCAATAGTTCAATTTTGCAAAGATTTCAACGGTTTTATTTTAGATTTATTGGCTGATCTCAAAATAGAAATGATATAATGCAGTTGTGAATATATAAGACTGGAATGAATATTTTTTCAAAAATTTAAGAAGAATATAATTCTTGATTTTGAAAAGAATACCAATGAAGGGTGCTACGTTTTTCGAATAATTTCAGTATGATGTGTCCACGATAAATTTCCATCAATCCTAGGAATTCAATAGAATTAATATAAGATGAATTGTCATCAATGATTATAGGATTGGTACAACTATTCGATAATCTTTTAGAAATATTTATAAATGAAGATTTTTGAAAATTTTTAATTGATTCATTCTCTTCAAGCCAACCCAAAATTGTTTACATGTCTGTTTTTATATCATCATGAATTTTGTCGAAGTAACTTGAAGAGTATAAAATTGTTGTATCATTAACAGATAATTTAACTGATCCCTCCAGAGGTAAATTTGTTAATGACCCCTATTCACGCCTTAGAGGTAGATTCATAAAATAACCAAATACATGTCTTCAAGTTTCTGAACAAGTGCAAGTTAATTTCTACCAAACTATTTTTGCAAATTTCATAATTTCAAATACTCAGAAAAAACACGCTAATCTATACTGTTGTCAAATTACGCCAATATTCTCGAACAAATATTCACAAACATCAGCTATGAAATAATATACACTGAACTATACAACATTTCAATGCTTCAAAATGGTTTTGTTTCATTGAAAAACGTACATTCTGGAGCTACGCAGTTCACAACTTTTGGTATCAATATTTTTCCTTCACTATCTGTCTTAAGAAACTTCTGACAAAGTTTCTTATTTCTGATGTTGTTAATGGCTGGAGTAGCCTACTATAAAGAGGTGTAGTTTACTTATTGTGTCCTTTAAAATAGAAATTCCAAAGTGTTGTTTCATATGTAGCGAAAATGCTCTAAATTATTTTTTGTTCACAACGTTCAAAATTATGAATGTGCCAGAAGAATGTCTAGCCGCCTCTTTTGCTTCAATATCTAAACAAGATGCAGAATACCATTTATAATGTTAGAAATGACGAAGGTTTCGTAATCTAGCCCTCTTTTCACCCATGTAGGGGTGGAGTTTCCGAAAATCCTTCATATTCCTTACCTTAATGTTGAAAGGTGCATGTGTATGTGTCAAATTTGTGCTTTCTAGGGTTGGACGTTGACGCATGGGTGTTTTTTTCTATATTGAAAGAAAGGAATCAGCTCGGCTCGATTTCGACACGAGCTTGGAGTCGATCCCCGAAGAAGAATTTAATTTTATTCGAAACGTCGGCAAGAAAACGATTGTTTTTTTTTTCAGAAAAAATTGATCCTGTTACCATCCAACCTTTTTTCAGTAAAAATTTTGCTGATAACTGATAATTGAAATTACGTGTTACAAGACTACACTCCCTTGATTCTCTCGAGTAACCTGTGCAACTTTGGCCTGTCAGCTGTAAGTGACGTTACTTCAGCTGTGCACGACTTTTCCACCTCTGTTTTGAACCTGATTTGGCCTGAGGATCTGCAAAGCAGATCTGAACATTTTTTCCTGATTCAGATTCTGCTTCTGCTGTTCAAGAATTTGAGACAAAGGCAGATTCATGAAGAATCCCTCTTTCGAAGAGGTAATAGATTACTTCTTGGTTGCACTACTTAGCCTTCTATATTTGTTAATAGGATCTAGGGTTGAATGACTGCGAAGCTCTTGTTCTGGATCCAATCTCACAGAGAGACCAGTTGGAGTTGTTTAATAATAATAATAGCTTTATTGTCCAACAGTTACCCATTTACNTACTGATACTGGCTGGATTCAGGGTCCTATGTCTTTCTTGACGGATACAAATATTTTAGGATGAAACGTCATTTAGGAGGACTTTCACCTCCAATGGTTAAACCTCACTCAGCAAGGTTAAACCATTGAACCTATTCGAACTGAGTATCGATTACTGGTCAATAAATTATTGTTGCAAGAATACCAAATTCACATTGCCGTGTGGCAATAAACCCAAGATTATACTTCAATAACCACGCAAGCTGGACAAATGTCTACTGTTTTTCCAGCAGACATTTGTTCATACGCTTCCATATGTTTATGGTTTTTCAGAAAGCGATTTCATTCTCAAATTATCGACTCAATCTCCATAGTCCAAATCTATGTTGAAATGTCACAAAAAAACGACGTGTCCACTCGCATTGATAGTTCAAATTCATTATAATGTTCTTGCAAATTTTTTATGATGAATGAGAACTATCTGTAGAGTTGACAATAAAACCAGGAATATTGAGTGCTGCCCTCTTCACACGATGAGAATCGATATACTCGTATAGAATAGTTTATCGAATGCTTGGGACCGTATTCCTTTCTGCAAGGTGATTTGTGCTTACTTCGAGGTATTTCTATAACTTTAATGATTTTTTGGTTCTTTCATTTGGTTCTCATAATATGGAGCTTTCAAATTCCATACCATTTCTATTTCTCATGTAGTGATGTTAGACACACTAATCAAATACATATATCACGTGATGAATCGAATCAATCGTATTAACAAATGGGAGATATAAAGGAGGAAAGTTTCAATAAGAGAAAGAGAGTGATGTAGAGGTTCACCTTGTTTCAGTTCTGCTGTGCTGAGTTCATCTATAGTTAGTGAAATTACATCATAATATAAATTATCGAAAAGCATTCTTCTTCTGAAATACAGACAATATTTTCAACAAAAAACTTTTATTTGGGATTGACTCGGTCGTTACTTGATGAAGATCTATAGTTATTTCACAAATTACATCGAAAAACGATTTGATATTCTCAAACTTTATTTTGAAGAATATGACGACGTTTCGCTTTTTCGTTTGGGAAGATCAAGCCGTTCTCCTGTGTAGTTTATGGAACAAAAAACTCTGATGAAATGGGATTGGCAGTGTTGGTTCTTGAAGAAATATGAATAGCATTATAATCACATTAGGATTAAAAACTTCCCCAACTAATTGACCATTATTGATTTTCAGTACCCTGAAGAAAATCCTGCTGCCATGACAAATAACTCAGGAAAGAATGAAAAAGTTGACCTAAGGTTGGAAATGCCGGCCATAAACACGCAGGGATCAGATCATAGCCCTGTAACTGTTACAACATCCATAAGTAGACGACCTGCAGAAGACAGTACTCTGGAGTACGCTTATGATAACCCAGCAATGACACCTTCCCGGTGAATTTGTTTGTGAACTTCAAGAATGTTTTTTTGTGTCTTCAGCCTTTTCTTTTCATTTTATCTGATGCAAGATAAGTTATTTTCATTTCAAGAGAAATACGTAGTTTTTATTAACTATGCTTGATACTCAAATGATATAAATTTTTCCCAAATAACTGAATATGAGAAAATATATGAAGTTGGAAACGGAATCAGAAGAAGAGAAAATAGTTCGTGACAAAGATTTCTTTTCAAATTCCATGTAACACCGTTATTGATTTAATTCATTGAAGTACCTTCATAATGAAAATTTGTAATAAAATATTTTCTCTGTAAAAGCAACAATTAAAATATATCTAAATTATAAACTATGATATCTCATAGAAATTTTTATGGAAAAATAGGTGTAATTTCTACTGTACTAGTATTGGACGAAATTTGTTTATTGTGAATATTGTATTGATTCGTGTTTTCCAATGATAGAGAATCATTTGATATTAATTAGGTAGTAGAAAGTTGAAATTATCCTTCTTCATCACAGAATTTGTGCAATATTTTTGACACTTTTTCATTCATTTCACATCATATTCATCAATGTACTTAAATACTAGTCAATAATGTACTGAAAGTTATTATCACTTGGTGTTTAAACATTCATTCTACAGTGTGTGTATCATCTAACATCCATTAGAAATTGGAGGTGAAGGAGTGCAGTTTCCAAATTACATCTCATTTTGAAGTTCCAATGAATCTGGCTCCTTTACGTTATTCACCAATATACTGGGAACTTACTAGAAATCGAAATATGATCTTTCTAAAGTATCTATTTCCGAAGATAACTCTGTTGAAGGATCTGCTCCACCCAGACTTTCTCCAACTCGTTTGATCATTTCTCAGTAGTTCAGTTATACCAAGGAAGAAGTCAAAGAAAGGTCTATCTGACCATTGTGGTGACCAATTATTAGAAAGACCAGTTTCATTGGCAGTATTGATTACAATTTTCTATATGTGAATAATTTCGTTCCTAAGATTACAGAAAAACTCTAGAAGCCAGTAGTATTTGATCTCAAACCAGTTTTCAATGAGTGGATATGTAATAGATAAGCAACTGAAAATGAAATTCCATATCCGTAGAGTTATAATCATCTTTTAGGCTCCGTTATTTGTTGTGCGATTTTTTCACGGAAGATGAACGGAATGAAAAAAAATCATAAACAAACTGACTGGAAGTGGAAGGCAAAATATCATTATATTACTTACTTACTTACTTCACTCAGAACACTGTATGCTTTATATTGGTGAATAATCTGAAAGCTTATTTCACTTGTTACTCAAACTCAAACTCTTATGAACATTTCTTAATAAATCTACTCCACCACAAAGTTATAATGGATGCTGCATGTGAGACTGTATATGGCAATTTCGATCTTATATAATTCATCACGCATATATCTCAGAAGAATCACATTTACTCTGGTATTTCAGAATCATATAGGTAATAACTCTAGGTTGCCATTTCTGGAAACGCCGACATCCAAATCTGTTTATGTCATGGAATCATTTTCTTTAGAATGTCTCTCCACTATCTCATTTCCGGATCTTCCCATTCAGTTGGAACACGAACTACGTTAGAATTGAAATCGATCAGAGTTATACCATTTTCTGAGTTCATTTGACATTCGGGAAGGTGGACCCTAGAAGAGTTCCAGTATTCTTGTGGAGAACTTATTCTTCTGGAATGAATATTTGCCAATTCTCAATATCGTCATTAACCTCAATCCAAATATCAATTGTGAGATTTGTAATTTTTGAAGCGGCAATATGTACTTATTAGTTTAAGAATAAAGTAAGTTGATAGTTGAATAATTTTAATGTTATTCTTTAGTTCTAATGCAGCGGTAATCATCCATACTATACATTCCACTGTTGTGTATTGAAATTATTGTTTTATTATGTGATATATCTTAGTAATTTTACTGCCTAATCTTAAAGTGTTAATATTTGTGTAGTTTATTTTCTTATTCAACTGAGAATGGTGGGAACATCAATGAGAAAAGTAATTAACAAATTCATATTCGTTTGTGGAACCTGCAAACAAACCAAAATTTCATTACAATTATAATTACCCCCCCCTTCCTGAAAATAATGTCTGTTCACTTTTTTTTTTACATTACGATACATGTTGTTGGGGTAGTTTCGTTGCAAACACCTATTTTTCTCTTCACGATTGCTGAAAAGGACTGGCGGATGTGTTTCGTACCACAAGATGTCACCTATCTTCTAGAAAACATCTGGTGGACCCTTAGGAGAAACTACGTTCGCATATCAACCTGACTAATACAAATGAGGTTTCAACTGATGTTGAAACCGTCTTATAAGACGGGATACCTACACGTTACGTCAGGCTGATTCGAAAGAAGCTAGATGCCAAGTATCCAAATAGTTGTATAAGCAAACGTGGCCTCTGAATGACCACTTAAATGTTTCTGAACATTTATAAAATCAGAATTCTATCTATTTCAGAGACCGATTTCATTATTGTCATTTTACTCGAAATTAGAATATTTATTGATTGTTTGCAAATTGCTGATGCGAATATGAAACTGGAATGGCTGACTTACAAAAATTAAACAGTTTCGAATAGACAATTGACATACCTATAAAGATTTCACAAGACATTCTCTTCTGTTTGTAAAAAAATTGGTAGCGTTCTCTTGTCAAAAAGTACTGACACGTTCGAAACATTATGAGCATTCGAGAAGTGTCTCATGCAAGTTTATCTGGTTCATCACAGTGATATTTAAACTGATCACGATAAAGTTAAGGAGTTATGCCAAAATTACCATCAAAAAGTTCATCTATTCAACCCTCCCCATGACCTACAATTTTTTCATCACTATATTGGTTTAAAGGAAATAATCACTCTGAATTTAGTATTATTTACCTGAAATCATCAAAAAGATCTACAAAAGCATTTTGATTGAATCTTTTTGCAGACAAATGATTTTTTTTTATATCATCTCATTTTCATCAGCAGAAATCGATAAGCATTCATTTATATTTCATAAATATATTATCAAAATAATCAATTACAACTATATATTCTGAATTTCTCAGAATTACGCTATTACATGTTCTTTAATTGTTGATTCATGAACTTTTAATAAAGTTGCCATAATAATTTTATAAACAAAGATCTTCCCCTGGTTATAAATCACAGTGAATCGCAACGAATGGGTTATCTGCATTGCTTGTCGTATGTACCTCGTATCATAACAATTTCACAACTAACACACCATTAGCAGAAAATGCTGCCGCAGTAACCGAAATGGAAAGAGACATCAATTTCAGAGCGATTTCCGGTTTTCCTTCTGAGAGCCTGAAAAAAATTCTTACAAGTTAGTTGTGATTTTATTCGAATAAATTCACGTGTTGAATAATAAAATGATTGCTGTAAATACGACCACAAATAATTGTATATGAGTCTGTTATTTGTGATTGTGATTGGTCATGAATATATTACTTCTCTTATGATTTAGTGAAAGAAAAGATTTGTAAAATGTGTTCATAATGGAAACTACTCTGATTATCCAAAAAAATATATATTCATCCTCAACGCAGGAATGAAAAATAACAATAATTCATTGTTCAGAAAGATCCAAAAATTCTGCAGTCAATTCCACAAATTATCTCTTAGTAGGTAGGTAATATTGTTGCGAAAAAATTAAATGAGTCTCTGTTAGTTTTCAAAAAAAATAAGTGAGAAAATTCAATTCAATAATTGTTCAATTCAGCAGATCATGGTAGACAGTATGTAATTAGTTCAACCAAATTTGATTGGTATGTGTTAAAGTGCTTGATTTCTCTCATCTTGCTTTTGGGTGCACCGTTCTGGCGGAGGCCAGTGAAAAAGAAACACCTGTCTGTAATTCGCATTTTTGGATGCTATGCCTATGAGTTATTCTCACCAATTGCTTGTCTACCAACTCAAATATTCCACATATCTCACATAACTTCAGTGTTCTACAGATTGGTGTAAGATTTTTTAATATACAATTTCTGTCATCTATTTCAGAAGACTATCAAATGATGACAAAAAACGGAGTGGTTTTTTGTTTAATTATCTAATATTCAATCAGAAATCTGTTCATACGAGAACTGATATCATCAGACTGTATATATGAACTTTCGAAGAGAGTGTCTTCCGACGTACGCCACCCTACACTTTGAAATTTTAAACACAGACCTTCCCATTATTTTACAATTTTTTCAAAACGTCACATATCTTACAATAGTTTCCGACAAAAGCTTTATTGAAATGCATCCATTACCAGTCGATAACAAATTATCATTAATTGAATATTGAAACTACAGTACCTATCCTTCATCACGTGAAATATCTTACCGTAATTTTTCCCAGAGAAATTATTCTTCCCATCATGCCACTAATATCGGTTAGCAGAAAAGCAATAACTGGTGTGAAATATTTATCTGAAAAAAAAATAAAAAGAGAACAATATTATGATTATTTTCTCAAGATCGACTATTATAGTGGAAATGTTTAGTCATATTATATGAATGAACTGATCCTTCATTTGATGAAAATCAATAACACTATTCAGGAAATGCGATGTCTTTCATTTTACTGAGAAAATCAACAACAAACAACATCAGTGGGAATGAAATCAANAATAAATGATGCAGTCGACTATCGAAAGCTTTTAATTACATTATTTAAGATGTTCGGAGTCAACAATCAACATTCGCCAACAATTCTCTGTCGCAACTCTTATAGACTTATAGAATTTACAGTAACCCTATTGACATGTACGAGACTGTTAGATTTTCCTGCAATGGTAGTTTTTTCTGGAGCCAATAATCAACAATAATATTCAAACAATTATTTTCAAAACACGTCCAACTACACGCTAGTTCCATCAAGTTGAATTGGTACATCAAACTATTCTACAATATTTTTCATACAGGCGTTCTAACGAAAACTTAACCGTCAGTAAAAAATTAATGTGTGATCTGAAATATCGAAGAATACGTGGATTTTTCTTTCTAGCGAGACTGATTTTGTTATGAAAATCATACACGAAATTTCATTACCTTGCAGTCAGCGGATAGCAGCTAACCCCACAATTTTTGTTTCAATAGCATGGGAGTCGAGTGATACATTACGTGACATATCTTCAGTTTCTTTATTACCGCTATAGGTTTTTTCAAAACTGTTATCGTTGACTGTTGAACGTATTATTACGCCGTTTCTTATAGTGAGGAAATCAAAAACAAACAATATCAATGGGAACAAAATCAACAGATTAATTGTTCGAATGTTTCGAAAGCTTTCCTTATATTATTCAAAATGTTTGGCGTAAGCAATCGACATTTTCGAAGAGTTCTCTGTCACAGCTCATATAAATTTGCAGAATCCACTCAATAGTCGCCATGTAACCGTTTTGACATGGACGAGTCTGTTAGTTTTTCTAGTAACTAGGTGTTGTAGAACAAAAAGAAGATTTTCGACCACTGTCACTTTGTCGCAAATTATTATTTATCCACTTTTGTTCACAACTCCAGGTTCTGTTCAACATGAAGTGTTCCCTCTTGTCAAAACTGAAGAAGTTGAAGTTGAACTTTCAGAACATGTACAAATGGAAAATCAACAATCTATCAGACAAGTGGCTCAAGCTTACGGTGAATCGGCTACTAGTATTTTTTGAGTATTGAAAGCCCATAGATTCTATCCTTCCAAAATAAGGCTAATTCAGGAATTGAACGAAAATGATCTTGCTCGCCAACTTCAGTTTCGTGAGAAGTGCAGCGAGAAATGGACCAATAACCGGAAGGTGATGTCAATGTAGACAGTAGTAGGATTCAGCAGAATGATGCACCTTCACTTTTCGATGTTCTAATAAGACTGTCTTTTGAACGAATGCTTTCCAATGCGTTAGATTTGCAGAAGGGGTCCAGTGAAATGACCAGTGTATTCACCTGATCTTACACAATAGAAATACTTCCTGTGGGGACACCTGAAGTCGATAGTTCAACCTACTATGCTTACAAATATAGGAAAGCTGCCACAAAGAATTGTTCGGAAACGCAGATTACTGACCCCTTGAGATCTTGAATAATGAAAGTGAAGCTTTCCGAACTCGACTCTATTATTGTATGGAAGTAGGTGAAGATCATTTTGAGTAATTTATTTATTGATTTTGCTCTAATTGATAATGTTTGTGTTTATTTCCTCAATAAAAAAACAACAACATATTTTCAATACATTCGACATTTGAATTTTCGTTAACATATTATTTACTATCGAAAAAACTCCATTTCTGACCCACTGAGGAGGGTTAAGCTTTCTTTGGAACTCCTTGTATAACAATTACAGGTAGATTTTGAAAAAATAATCACAACGTAATATTGGAATTTTATGAAATTTAAATTCATATATGGAACTGTAGGACCAATATATATAATTTTCCCGAAGCCCTGAAAATGAGCTCGAAATCGGCTGTCTGGCCNGAAACATTGTCAATCACCTTCAAACATCCATTTCTCATGTTTCACGATGATCTTCTATCACGTAGTAACGGCTAAATCCATAAATTCAATGATTGAATATTTTTTTACAAATTTCATTTGCTCTTATAGTAGGCTGAGAATTTTTCAATATATCCTTTTATATACAATCGCAAACAGAATATTTCAGGCTTGTGATTTGTTATTGAAATAGTACTTCTTATTTTTAGGCATGAAAAGTATCAAACTTAGTAATAAAATTATTGTACTTACTTCCCCAAGCACTCCCATCTCCATGTTTCTGAGATACAACCAAGCTTGTGACTGAAGGATGAACGCAATTCATTGTAAACATCACGATGCCGATGATAGTAACTGCAGGCCATATCAACTTCATAACCTCTTTCATTTCTGACCAAGATAATGTATCTTCTTTCGTTTCATGGTCTCCTGCGCAGTCTTCCGTGTAATAAGCATATAATTTAGAGTATTTTATGCCAAGAGAAATAATAAACTTTACCGCTATCAAAACAGTTCCTGTTAAGAAATAAATGAGGGCTCCATCTTCGTCTGAGTCGGTGACAGATATAGAAATGACTTGAAGTAGGCCTGTAAGTATTCCTCCACCTTGTCCCAACAGAAACCATTTCATGAAATTACTAGGAAATTTTGCCACTAATACCACTGAAAACAGTTGGTAACCGGCAAGTGCAGCTGGAAGTCAAGAAAATAAATTTTATGTTTATATTTATGTTAACTCAATTTCACCTAAAATGGGTATCACTAATTACTATTATATTGGATATGCCCGGTAGAGTTTACTACATCAATGAGAATTTCCAAGATATTTTCATAGTCTAGTATGTCACCATATTTTTATTCGTAAGAATACTAATTTCTGGTACCAACCAGTATGAAACCATACACCTGTGCTATTTAATTGAGATACCGTAATCAGTCATCAGGGCGTAAGATCTTCATCGGGGTCGAATACAAAGATAAAAATGACCCTTAAAACTATAATGATGAATTTTCAGAATTTCAAATCGCAAAAAAAATCCGGGCAACAAGGAAGTTGTGATTCACTATGAATACTTTGAAGAACTGATAAAGTACAATAGTTGCCCCCATGATATGACATATCATCTGCATTTTGCCACCTCTTATTCAATAGTTTCTGATCTGAAGAAGCCTCTACACCAACGTAAGATATTGAAAGTAACTGCGAATGTTGGGTATTTATAGCGTTAGTTTTGTCGGGACCGAAATTGACTCATTCATTATACTTGACAGCATTTTTTTTTATTTCCGTAGACTGTATTCATCATTATCATGTTGAAGATAGGAAAATATACTTAGATTTGGGGAAGAATTAACATTTCATGTAAAGATGTGTATGTGTGTGCAAAAGCGAGAGACGCGTGTGACGTAATCGAGGCAAATAGAAATGGAGATGGTATCGAGGTCTAACTGGTTGCTCGCGCAGGCAGGTGTTGCCGGTTGTACAATAAATCGTTGTTTATGGGGCAATGTAGCGTTGCCGGTTTTGACATTAAACGTGAACGACTCAATCGAAAAAACATTACAGATTAATGAGGCTGTATCGTTTCAAAGTGCGATCCCTCAATGTTACAAGGTATCTTAAAATACATCATTGAAAACGAACATGGCGTCGAAGTGTACAGGATGCGTCAAAATACATCATTCAAGAAAAAAAAACATAACAGTTCCACGAGGCTGTAAGTTTTCAACGTCCGATCCCTCAATGTGTACAAGGTATCTCAAAATACATCATTGAAAACATAATGGCGTCGAAGTGTACAGGGTGCGTCGAAATATATCATTTGAGGAAAAAAACATGTCGGTTTAAAATATGATATTAATGTGTATACAGGGCGTTTCAAAATACATCATTTGAAAAATGAACATGTCGATTTAACAGAAGTCTAGCGTTCCAACATGCCAGAAGGACACTAAGTCTCGTTCCTTTGTTAACCAAGCTAGCATCATCAGGAGAAGGAGGAGGTGGCACTAAAGGTGTCGAGGGGTTACGGGTTATGGACTCAACGTGAGGGCAATGAGAGAGCGGAGTATCCGACCGTTTAACAAACGTTCCGACCGTTTTACGTGCGACCGTTTTGCGTGCGATCGTTTTACGTGCGTTTTCGACCGTTTTCGATCGTTTGCGTGCGTTTTCGATCGTTTTCCGTGCGTTTTCGATCATATGCGTGCGTTTATTCGTTATCGTTTCATCTTTATTGTCGTAACGGTTTTTCGTGTTTCAATATGACAGTCATTTATTATTTAACGCGTTCCGCTAACCAAGTAAGCATCATTAGGAAATGACTAAAGTCCATGCTTTGTCGTATGAAGAATAATTTTGCGAATTTTCAGAATGTTGAACGGAACCTTGTGGAACACGCAACCTAACTTCTGTTACAGAGTAGTGTCGGTTAGCTAATCAGAATGAAGAAATCAAATATCGCTCGATTGATTGTGCTAGATGAAATTGAACTAGAGAATGTGGATCGAATAATAATAATGATAGTGATAAAATCTTGAAAGTGACGTAGTCAGCGTGGGAGGTGGTGGCGTGTATGAGGGTTTGTGGAAATCAATGGGTTATTACAAAAAATAATAGCGCAACTGTCAGAAGGGCACTAAGTTGTATATTCACTAAAAATGATCGGATCGTCGCATACAGCACGTCAAATGAAAGGATAAGAAATGCAGAATTCATCGACAAAGGAAAATCAAAGATGACGCAACATGTCAGGTAAGCACTAAGCCAAATCTGCGTTAATGATAGTTGAATCTCAACGTGCAGCACATCAAATGGAAAAAAAAGAATACAGAGTCTACCGACAGAGAAAAAACAAAGATGGCATAACGAATATAAAGCCAACGTCTGATGTGAAATAGCATAGGAAGAATTGCAAATTCAACAAAAATCATTGAAAAAACTTGGAAATGAAAAATGCTGGGTTATCAACAACAATAAGTTTATTTCAATTGCGGAAGCTTGATTCAAAACGCAGAATTCATTGACAAAGAAAATGAAAAAATCATTATATACTGAAACATATGATACATTTGGATTCCTTAGGGTGAGAAGGTTTCGATTCCATCAAAAAACGACCACTTCTGGTTTCCACTTCCGGTCGTCCGATTTCGATGATTTCGTAAGTAATTCAACCAACATCAAGTACATCCCATCGCCCAATACAAGATTGCCCTCAGCCCTGAAGATGATAAGCGTTATATTATTCCAGATTCATACAATACGCTTCCTTGGGGTCACTATTTTATCTCTCAAACATCAAATGCTATGGATATAGACGATTAGCCCATGATTACTAGTATATATGTATTTGGCTGCAGTTCAGCTGAGAAAAGATTTATATATTATTATTGAATGTTCAAATACCTACTTTATTTCATCAGTGAATTCAAGGTATAGAGATTTAAAAAACTTTTATAGCGGCAAAATGTATCGATACTTCTAGAATATTTTGTAGAAGATTTTTTGAATTCATGAATAATTTTCAAACCCATCCCCTTTTCCGGTTGAACTAACATTCACTCATAACTAACATGATGATAATTACAGTCAACGAGCNTGATGCTCACTTGGTTAGCGGAACTCGTTAAATGATAAATGACTGTCATATTAAAACACGAAAAGCCGTTACGACAATAACGATGAAACGATCACGAATAAATGCACGCATACGATCGAAAACGCACGGAAAACGATCGTAAACGCACGCAAACGATCGAAAACGTACGGAAAACGGTCGAAAACGCACGTTAAATGATCGCACGCAAAACGGTCGCACGTAAAACGGTCGAAACGTTTGTAAAACAGTCGAATACTTCGCTTCCTCATTGCCCTCACGTTGAGTCCACAACCCGTAACCCCTCGACACCTTCAGTGCCATCTCCTCCTTCTCCTGATGATGCTAACTTGGTTAACAAAGAAAGGAGACTTGGAACGCTAGACTTCTGTTGAACCGACATGTTTATTTCTTAAATGATGTATTTTGAAACGCCCTGTATACACTTTCATATCATATTTCAAACCGACATGTTTTTTTCCTTTAATGATATGTTTTGACACACTTCGACGTCATATTTGTTTTCAATAATGTATTTTGAGATACCTTGTACACATTGAGGAATCGCACGTTGAAAACTTACAGCCTCGTGGAACTGTTATGTTTTTTTTTCTCAAATGATGTATTTTGACGCATCCTGTACACTTCGACGCCATGTTTGTTTTCAATGATGTATTTTTAGATACCATATAACATTAAGGGTTCGTACTTTGAAACGATACAGCCTTATTAATCTGTAATGTTTTTTTCTGAATCTGATTCATTATTATTAATATATCACTTTCGCGTTTCCAATTTTCATCGAGTCGTTCACGATTAATGTCAAAACCGGCAACGTTACATTGCTCCATTAACAACGATTTATTATTCAACCGGCAACACCTGCTTGCGCCAGCAACCGGTAAAACCTCGATACCATCTCCATTTCTCTTTGCCTCGATTACGTCACACGCGTCTCTCGCTCTTGCACACACATACACATCTTTACATGAAATGTTAATTCTTTTCCAAATCTAAGTATATTTTCCTATCTTCAACATGATAATAATGGATACAGTCTACGGAAATAAAAGAAAAAATGCTGTCAAGTATAATGAATGAGTCAATTTCGGTACCGACAAAACTAACGCTATATCTTTCAATATCTTACGTTGGTGTAGAGGCTAAGGACAATGCCTACCGCGCGGACGATACAGGTTCGAATCTCATAACCCGCCAAGAAGCTAGTCACCGCCGCCAGGAAAACACCAGGAAGAAATTACAAAAATCGCCGTTCTTCAAATCCAAAAAAAAGAGACACTGAAAACCTCGCCCGCGAAAGCCCAAACCATTTTGTCAATATTCCCTTGTATACTGTATACTGATAATTAATGACTCAGTAGTAAAACGGAACTTCGAATACTTACAGCTATTTACTGCCAGCAGTATCATGGACACAACAAAAAATCCTGTTTGCCCTAGAAAACAAGCATGATTATTTTTTTCAATAGCAAACATGATTACATTGAGATTTTTACATTTTTGCTTCCTACCATCAGATTCAATGAGAATTATATTAAAATATTACAAGTAAATCGACAATAAATATATTCGCAATGGATATAAATGGATGATTGTCTACATCAAATTCTCCAATTTTCAACAATTTTCTGAAAGAAGTATGATTCGTTTTTACCCATCATTTAAACAATTGCATGATTTCATAGTCAATATTACTGATAATTTTTTGAAAAAATCAATTTTCACTATATGAAAATGAAAAAAAGGCCAATTTTGCGGACGTTCCGTTAATAAAAAAATCACTTCAACGCGTCGAATTTTATTTTGAGGATGAAATATCTGACGCATGTGCTAAATCTTCTCACATAGTGGTGTACTTTGATGCAACTCTCGAATTCCAGATGAGACTGGAGATCAAGTGATACTTCGTTAGTAGGTCATCATTTTTTTTTTTCACGCAGACATAGGGAAACAACCGTACATGGAAAGTATTCCTGATAGATCATAACTTTTTTCTTTTTCACGCTACAAACTTTTTTTTCGAATTGACATAGCAGACATAGGGAAACAACCGTACATGGAAAATATTCCTGGACACGTATGTCACACTCATTCCACATTGGAAGTATTTGTGCATTGAATTTTCTTGTTCATTCAGTAATAGTACTCAGATATCCATGTTTATGATGAGGAAATGAACACAGTTTTTGCTATTTTTTGTTGAAAGTGAAGTGATGGATTATTATCATTTGATTTGTTGACATTCTTGACTTTCCCATTTACAACGACAAACATTTTTGTCAGTCAAGTGGTTCACAAGTTCACTTAATTTAGGTTATTTAGATTTTTGTAGGATCGAATGAAAGCCTAAATCCATACAACATCTATCCATATCAGCTATGATGACGATCAGATGAATAATAAAGATCATCCAATGTCAGAGGCCTCTGGTGAGTTGCGCTACCACTTGCCCAAGCAACTAGTGCAAAACCGGACCAGCAGCACAAGCACACACGGAAGGAAAAATTCAACACTTGTTTTGATGCCAACAATGGATCTGTTAGGCTAATATCTTATACTTGGATGAGCAGTGAACCACAAGGAGAGACCCCCACACCCGACCCTATTGGAACAAGCGTTAACGCGTGGGGCCCAAACCAATCATTTGCCAACTCATAACGACCGCAACGACACCGGACGCTTTTTAGTGGACACATGAGTTGAGATCTGGCGTGAACGTTGGTGTGCCGGCACGAAAAGGGACTTGGCACTTGTACTTGTATTCTGTGGTGAGTATTGCATCCAGGGCATGCTGCTCTTTCTGGTGGCAGGGATATATAACTTTTCCGCCGCCCAGGTATGTGAGTGGTCAAAGTGGCGGTTTCACTACCCTTTGGCGTGAAGAGTAGATTAGCATCATTACACAAGTTGAAACACACGAAACACACTGTGCGCTGGTTTGGATGCGAAGATTCACGATGTTCTTGAAGAAGTGTATGGCACGGTTCAATTGGTTTCTGAATCGGAAGGATAGATTCTCAACCTTGTGATTCAGTAAACTGAAAGATGGATGTATAGAAGAAAGCTAAGATCAAGTCGGAGAAACAACATACGTCTGGTATTCAATGTGTAATAGACTATAGAGTGGCCAACAGGTATTTCACGCCCTCCATGAACCGGATAGCCTCTAAACTAGGACGTATCGTTCAAACTTTGAGTTTATGTTTCTGTACTGCAGCATTGTCTTGACAGAATATGTTTACTGGTGACTGCTGAAAAGTCACTGGTGTTACGAGCAAACATTCAGAAGGACGTTTATGAATTACGCAACGCGTTAACCCCGAATGAATCAAAAATAGTCTTGTACACCTAGCCCAGATATACCGAACATTTATCGATGAAAAAATTAACAGGCACCCACCGCCTTCTCGAGTTATCAACTAATGACTGGGGTGTGGGCAACAAATTTGGAATTCGGCGGTCCACTATTATCCTCAAAACCAAAGATTTACAGAATCGATAAAATTTATTCAATAATCTCTCTATGTCTTCTATCGATTACTGCAAAACATTCGATATAACATTCTATGAGCCTATCCTCCATTTGCTCATATGCTTCACTGCATCCGACAAAATAGTGAGATGCGTTAAATACGTGATAGCATTCTGTAAGACTATCTTCACAATAACATCTGGTTGGGCTAGAGCCCAAACAGAACGGTTGTTTTTTTTCTTACCATATTGGGATTTTTTATTCGAAAATATCTGCAGAGGATCTGCCCCTCAAAGAGTTGGAACGGCGAAAGAGCACGCACACATACTATCGGTATTGAATTCAGGAAAAACAAATGTTCAGCAGTCCATTCCAAAAGAATACGAAGAATGGATTACGGAGAGAATGTTTAGCTTTTAGATGAAATTATCCTGCACTTGTATGCTGGATAGTTGTTTATTCATTTCTGGGTTGAACAACATCTCTCAGAACAGGTCACCTCAGTGAAGAAATCTCTCCACGTCGATAAAGGCACAAACTCCAGCTAATGTGTTAGTCGAAACTGTCGAGAAAGAACAAAGTTACTGGTACAAATATACTCACCGTTTCGATTTTGCGCTACTTTTATCTGGTAGTGCATGCAGAAGTTCATTTTATGTGGAAATTTCAAAGAGATGTAGACAAGTTACCGTTACAACCCTGGTTCCAATATGGGTGAAATATAGATACGCTGATTTCAAATTGCGATAATGGCATAGTGGAGCCTACTTGGTTTTTTATCAGTTTGTTAATCAGTAATTGAAAGTCTTAGGAAGCCGATAGAATTATTTTCGAAACGACGCGACATCTAGAACAATCTAGAAAAACAAGTAGAGTTGAGTGCGACGATGGACAAGTCACAGTAGATCATCAGGAGATGATTCACAATACCAACCCCTTCCTTGAGGTTTTTCACCCCGAACAGATCGTTTATCTTTTTGGTTACCTAGTGAGGTCCCTGTCATGATATCTGCAATTTGGGACACAAACCATTTCAACATCGGGGTTGGTAGAGCCACAATGCATCGGCTTTTTGTCAAATCTTATCTTCATCCTGTCACTGAAAAGTTATAATTTGAATTTGACGAATTTGTATATAATTTCCAGTCTCTCCTTCAGATCATTCACATACTTTGTGTTGTTGCTTTTAATTAATTTGTTCACTTACTATGTTGAAATAATTGATCATGTTTTTTGTTGATAATAAAAGACGATTTTGACATTGACAATAATTTGTAAGATATAAAATAAATTTATTGACTTTAAACGTTTGATTCCTGGTTTATTTCGACTTTAAATCAGAGGAATTCACAGTAGGACTGACTAGTCCGAACATTGGTCCTTCGAGCAAAAGAAAAAGAACCAAAAGTAGTAAATTACAATATGTCCATGCCTAACCTGAGAAGGAGTGAGAGGAAAACTAAAGGAGTTCCTCCTGAAAGATATAGCGACGTATGTTATGACCCACGACAATTTTCGAAGTTGCAGAAACGTTCTTCATTGGAAGACCCATCTAATGCCGAAGACAAATCAAAAATTACGAAATCTTCAAGCTATAGACGACGAATGTTGAAAATAGAATTGGAAGAAATGAGAAAATTGGCCGAAATTGAGAAAAGAAAAGCCGAAATAAAGAAAAGAAGAGCCGAAATTGATGCTGAACTAATAAGGAAAGAAGCACAACTACAACGTGTACTGATTCAAGATTCTTCATATAAAAAGTCTACAATCTCTAGTGGTAGTGGCAAAAACATCATTGAGTTGGAAGAAATGACGCTACAAGTAAAAGTTGCTGAATGGAAAATCGAAGAAACAGAAAATAAAACCGATTTCGTACCGACAAACAATATTATTACGATGACTACTGATAATTTCAACCAGATTTTAGACGTTCTGAAGATGAATAAATCAAAATGTTCGGAAAAAACAGACAATGTTAAAACAAATTTACCGATTATCGATGGGAATCCAGAGGACTGGCCTTTGTTCTACAGTCAGTTCGAACGTTCCACCAAACTTTTTGATATATGTGAAGATGAAATGACATTTGGAGCAACTTCCTCTCCCTTGATGGCACAATTCGTCAAAAATAGGAACGCTGAAGAATTTTCTTCAAAATTTCCAGAAGCAGCCAGGGCAATAATCAAGAAACAATATGTAGATGACTACCTGGATAGTGCAGAAACAGAAGAAGAAGCAATTCAACTGATTCTGGAAGTTATAAAAATCCATGAGAAAGCCGGATTTGAAATACGTAATTGGATAAGTAATTCTCGGGAAGTGATTGACAAAATTCCTGTGAATCTTCGATCACCAAATCAGAAGAATCTTAGCACTCAAAACCCTGAGAGAGTATTGAGACTCTGGTGGAATCCAGAAGCAGATAGTTTTACTTTTTCGCTGAACCATCAGAAATTGGACTCAAAAATCTTGAACAGAACCAAGATTCCCACGAAACGAGATGTTTTGAAGGTGGTCATGTCAGTATTTGACCCGTTAGGTTTTTTGTCCCCACTGGTCGTAAAATTCAAAATTTTCATGCAGAACTTATTGAGGATTAGAATAGGCTGGGACGATGAGTTATCCACGGAAATGAACACAAGATGGAAACAACTCCTAGACGAACTGACAAAAATTAATGAAACGAGTTTACCTAGATGCTATGGAATCGGATTGTATGAAAGCAAACAAGTTGAACTACATGGTTTTTGTAACAGCAGTGAGAAAGCCTTTTCAGCTGTCATTTATCTGAGATTTGAATACGATGAAAAATTCAAATTATCTTTCGTAAGTGCTGAATCAAGAGTGGCACCTATGAAACCGATGACCATACCCAGATTGGAGTTACAAGCCGCGGTTATGTTGAGCAGACTCATGAACACTATCAAAAACAACATTGAAATACATATTACTTCAACTCATTTATGGACGGACTCAAAAATTGTCTTGCACTGGATTCGTTCCAAATCTAAAAGATACAA